TACGTGTTGCATCTTTAGCGCTTTGAGCGTTCTTGTATCTATAGTATTCATCGAAAGAGGCTGAGCATTATGCAGCCTAGGGTGTGTTGGCAACTATGCGGCTGTGCATTACAAACTCCACCTGTCTCTCACCGGTTTCTGTTAGCCTTCGAGTGCATATAATCATCTGTGATACTCTCCAGATTATAACTCAATCTAGCTAGAAACTGAAGCTTCCGCATGTTAAGGTATTCCAAGTCATGCAACCCGCGCCATCGCATTCCTCGCAGCCAACCTCACCAGCTTCAGCTCCAGACCCCGCTTCAGCCTCGTCAACTTCACATCAGACTCAAACCACGACACCCTCGGTAAGTCAATCAAACGCAACGAGCACATCTGCGCCCTTGAGCACACCTGCGACCTCGAGTCCATCGCCCAGCCCATCGAATGGAGCTCCCAGCGCAACGTTGTGCACGACTCAAAACAACACGGCCAATCACTTCGCTCCTGTACGTGTGAAGTTTGGCAAACTCCTAAAATGGCTGCGAAAAGATTGGGATTTGAAACTTCTTGCATTGCTTGCGCTGGTGTGGGGCATCGAGACTTATAACGAGCAAATACGCGGTAACAAGCTTAATGAGATGGAGGCTTGCAGAAATCATCCAGTATGTTTCTTCAAGATATGCTGATTCATATGATCCACCAATTAACAGCATTAGAATGATGCAGCATTACAAAATACCTCACTGTGCACTGAGATGAGAAAAGCACACGACTTCGATGAGCTTGTTAGAAGAAGCACTGAACGCGTGCCAGATGTCTTGCACCACCCATTTGTATGGCGAGACATCTTTAAAGAATTATTTTTTGTTCTTCTCGTCGTTCTCGCTGTATGGAGAAGTCTGCGGAACATGGACGCACCTCGCCTGGCCAAAGTCTTCACTTGGCTCGGTGGACTTCATATTGCTTGGTCCTTGAAATACTCAACATCCACAGAGTTCTTCTCGGGGATTACCATGATCGGGGCTGCGACTCTCTTTGATGGCTGCATATTATTTTATTTAATTTGAACGGCTACTAGACTAGAAGTAACTAGGTACTGCTTACACACGAATAAGATTATAATTTTAGCAAGCCCATTAGGTGCTCTGCTGATCATGAGTGGCATATCTGGCTCTTGAGCTACTGAATTAACGATCTTTTTGAGCACCACGGTCACACTACGTCCAGTTTGTTACATAGGATTTATAAGACAAGTCTCATTCGTACACAATGAGGGCTCGACCCATGCATTAGTCACTACATGTCACCAATGCACTTCACCAAACCAAGATTATACCCTCTAGTCAGACGCATGAACAGAAAATTATGCACACTCACCAAGGTAGTGCATTTCAACCTTTGATTGGTCTTGGCTATTGAGCCGTCATCTATTGTCGAGTCATCTCCGCGTCCAAATGCTGAACATTCATGGGTTTACATGTCTGAGCTACCCTTTCTCGAGGCAGCTCGACAGTTTTGTTCAGCGCCGATGGAGACCCTGACTGATCGATACCTAACGGCATGCTAAGGACTGAACCTTCAAGGCTCCAGGGTATGCCGTAGCTAGCATCTTGCACTCTACGATGCATCGACTGACGTAAAAGTCATCTGCTTGATATCTCGCACACTCTTTGTCTCTGCATCTCTCCCGCTATGTTCAGGTAGCGCTCTTCCACCGCTGTTCGTAATCGACCTTCCTCCTCACAACGCTCCTCAACCACTTCTCCAGATTCTCTCCTTCGACCTGTCCATCGACGTCCATGGCCTCTCCCTCGGCCTCTAGCCTTACGCCACCCTCCTCTTCATCGTCCTCCTCTCCGCAGCACGCATCCTCGGCCATTTGACATGCCTCGTTCCACTCTTCATAACTGAACTTTCCTTCACTCTCTCCCAGCAACATCTTTCTGTCGCCCGAGAATGCGAAGACGTGGACTGATCGTATGGGCTTTGCGCGTAAGAGTTCGTTGGCGGTCGGCGAGAGGAGGGGTGGGAATGAGTTTGTAGATGGCGAGGCGGGTTGTGCGATCATTACAGAAGTGAGGACTGTGCGGAGGGGTATCGATGCGGAGAGTAGGGCGAGAAGTGCGGTATGGAGAAGATGAGGGAGGAGGGTTAGAGACTGTGTGAAGATTAGCGATTAGTGATATAGCAAGACGATTTAACTGTTGGACGTACAGTGTTGACACCGGCTGTGCTATCCTCTTCCGGTAAACTTCTAACTTGCAGTGTGACTTGTACAAGCGTCCGTGGTATTGACCTTGTCAAGATGATGCTGCGCAGTGTGTTGTGAACAAGGGTTTCGAGATGCCTTTCCCTTGGGCCTTGGTCTATGTTAGTAGCCAATTCGCGACCTCTTCTCTAACGATTGTACATACTTCCAACGCCCATAGCTGGTCTGACATTCACCTCGATCGCAGCTTCCTCGGGCAGTTCGTCGCGTCGTTGTACTTCGATCGGTCCATTGACGGCGCCAATGATCGAGTAGCCATTGTGGGTGTAAGTCGCAGAACCGTCAGCACGGTTCAAATGCGTGAGGGTAACTGTAGGCGCGACCATGATTGGGTGTGTCTTTTCGTATGCGCGTGTGGTGCAGAGTTCGATGGCTGTATATCTGATGGTGTAGTGCGGTGGAAAGTGTACGCAGCCCGCCGAGTAATGACTAAGCGAAGCGTCGAGAGAAAGTCAACAACACCTATGCGCAAGGATTTGAAGAAGAGTGGTTGTAGTATGCGCTCCTACACATCAGTGACGACCATGTCCAAAAGTTTTGGTGGGGATGCAGCTCAGTCCACAAGGCGGCTCAAGCTTCAGACCTCGGTGCATCACCGCGGCCAGATCAGCCATGCTTGCCGATGCGACAACAGAGCTCCACGCGTGCTTTCACCGCCATAGACTTACAGCGCATCGTCCCCACCCATTATAACCTCGACTTCAATATCAAACATCGAAGCCGATATATATAGAACATCATGGCAGGCTCATCGCGCAACGCATCGCCCATCAAGCGCCTCATGACTGAACTCCAAACCCTACAACACGACCCCAACGATGCGCTTCTCGAACTCGGACCTACGGATGATGATGTGATGCAATGGAGAGCCGTCATGAAGGGTGTAGAAGGGACGGCGTACGAAGGTACACACAAACCCGCAATTCACTCCACCCATACCGCTTCACTTCTATACACGACCACACACAAACCTCATTCACTTGCTAACACCTCACAGACGGCTGCTGGCTCCTTTCTATCTCGATTCCTTCGCAATATCCCCTCTCTCCACCCACCATCCGCTTCGTAACACCCATCTGCCACCCCAATGTCGATTTCAAAACCGGCGAGATCTGCCTCGACTTACTCAAGACGGCGTGGACGCCCGCGTATACCATCTCTAGCACCATGACGAGTATACACCAACTGCTCACTAGTGCTGAGCCGGATAGTCCGCTAAATGTGGATGTTGCGCAACTGTTTAGGACAGGTGATGAGGTTGGGGCTAGGAGCTTGATTAGGTGGTATACTGTCAGCGAGAGGTTTGACTGGAAGAACAAGAGATCTGCATATTGATATGGTCGAAGCAAGAGATGGTATGGCGCAGTCGGGCGTGGGTGACGCATACAGTGAATTTGTTCTGGCGTTTGGTTTTGATTGAGATACCTATTATGGAGAATACGCGAACGCTTCGTGTATTTGCAATGGATTATATTACCCACACATCAAATCTGGATCGCGTAGGTCTGCTCCATCCATCGTATGCGCTTTGAGCCGTGGAGCCTACTGTCGGTGGGAATACCGTGCTGACCACTTCACACAGCCGTGCCCGTCATGATACCCTTTTTAACGCAGTCTGGCATATGCACCCCACGGCTTCGCTTCACCTTCAGCTCTCCACCGAGCTCCACGATTACGCATCTCATTGATCGACAATGCGACATCTAGCGAGAGGCAATCATAGACGAGGAAGATCGGCCGTATGCCTTCCTATCTGAGCGCGGTTTCTACAAGCGACGTAGATCGGCCGCTAACTTGACGTCTACATTCAATGTGTTGCTGACTGCGTTGGATGTAGTACGTACTCTTCATGCACTTTACACATGCACGAGGAAGTCGGTTGCAGTCAAAGGAAGGTGTCTCCAAATTGCTTTTGGCGCTTATGCCACGCATGAGCGGGTGGCTTGATAATGCAATTCGCAATGAGGCTTGAACGAAGATTGTTGTCTTGTGCTCAGAATAGAAACTCCCTGGGCATCGTGTGGAGATGGAGAAGGCTGTAAAAAAAAGCAATACCATAGTCGCACGGGCGACATAGGCACATGACACGCATTGTAAGCAGCGGGAGCTAATCACCGTAATGGCCATGCCGTACCGCGCGCTTGAGATGTCAAGTGGAACCAGTATTGACCCATGCTTGACAAGAGGTATACATCTAGACCCATGCACGGAGTCGCGAAAAACACTCAAAGATCATTCGTGGCGGGTAATTGCAACACATATGCACGAATACACCTAGATACAGTAGAACACATTGTCCGCCCCTTGCACCCCTTGTATCACTCGCAGCATGACAAATACCCCAACCGAGAAAATCAAGCAACGGAAAACATTCGGATCTACACACTCCGGCTATGGCGCAAGCTTCCATAGTTCAATAATTCATAAGAGGCGTCCTCGTAGTCCCTTCACTCGCCTACGGGGCCCCACATTTCACTCCACTATCCTCAGCTAGTAAGCGCGGAACTATACTACGCAAGCCACAACTCCCAAGACTCGAATTATCCGGTTCAGTTGCTACACATGGAGCCTCAGTCTCCACATCTTCTGAGGTCATGCGAGCACGATCGAGCGATGGTGGCTTGTATCAGCAGCGTCACTGCTATCGGTATGGGAAGAAGGCGTGTTTGCGCGAGAGTCCTTCCGTACTGCCCTTCCGATATATCCCTAGCTTCTTTGATCATGCGGTGAAGACGTGGCATCAATGGTCTCAACCTGCGGTGACGGTCCATTGAGTGCGGCGCCAGCCTTTGTTGGAAACAGTGACTGCGCCTTCGAGGAGAGACTCGTGATCCGGTATGCTGGGTGTCGAGACGCGACGAGTGTACGAGACGGTTTCTAGCTCTTCCGTTACATCGTCTGAGACTGGTTCCGTCTTGATTATGGGCGATTGTTCCCTAATCTGAGACGATTCTTCACTTCTGACTGTCGGTAATGGAACTGGGAAGTAAGGCGCATCATACGGCCCTGGTAATCTCTGTGGTGGCGACGTCCATGGGTAGATTGGCGAGAGTGTTGGTCGAAGTGTCTCTTGTTGAAGCGATTGGAGATACTGATTTGGTTCCTGATCCAGCGATGGTAGACGAATATAGTTATCATTTCGTCCCACCGATGTCGACTTCTCTTCCACTTTATCATCGAAGCTCTCCATCTTTTTACTTGGAGTATTTAACTCCTCTTGATATGAGTCTTTTCTTTGGTGGATTGGCAACTGCTTCTCTTGCGTTATGGCCAAGTCTTTTTGACCCACACCGGAACTGGTCATCCTTCCTTCTCTTCGCGCGACAAGAAACGATCGCAAGACTGTTGCAAAAAGAGCGAACAACAAGATGGCTTCAGAAAGATGCTGCAGATAAACAGGCGGATGCCAGCTTTCTGTACTGGCAAGACTTGAAGGTTTGAAAAGTGGAGGCATGAGTTCAGAAATGACGCCGATGGGTGGCAGGTATGGCTTGCTGGGGTCCACTCCGACTGTCAATCGCGTGGGATGATGCAGGTCCTAGATGAACTAGCTACTCGGTCAGTTGAGAAGACGGGAATACCACCGCTTTCATACAACTTACTTGAAGTAAAAGCGGAAGGACTGTTAGCATAAGCACTAGGGTCCGGATCCTCCGTTCGATAGTATCCAGCTAATAATACTCGGGTACGGTTATTGTCTCGTTCTTGTAGGATTAGCACCGGGGTCAACGTATAAATAAGGATATCCGCATGTGAGAGTCAGGTTCGGTTCCTGCGTCCGATCTCTGCGGAACTGCGCCATCCTGATTTGCGTATATGCTTCGACGGCGACATCAGCAAGCCCAGATACCGTTGAAACATTGAGGCAATCGGCGACCTAGCTCGGCGTAGACCTGGTGACGAAGGCTGGTGGGCAAAGTGAAGCGTAAGCCCACGATGCGCAAATCAAGCAAAAGGCAACAAACTGGTCATGTTCAGCTGCGACGAATCGCGCCTGTGCAAGGCATACAGTACGAGTCTTGCTGGGGCACGCATGGTTTGGTGCCCGGCTTCAGCACGACAGCCAGTGTCCTTGATGCTTGGCGGGGGTATGTTCAGCTGAGTCCGTAATGGTGGCGTCGTTTCGTGGCGTTAGCCACTGGTTCATTGAGCTAATCGGCAGGGATGACCCGAGATCTGATCCTGCGCGAAGGGACAACGGCGAGCTGGCTGAGCTCCTTTGGCTAGGCTTTCGCGCGGTAGTAGGGTCCACCACTTGGATGGATGCAGTTGCGCCATTACGGGCGTTGGACTGAGGTGTGGTCGGTGAGTAAGGCGCCCCGTGATGGATCCGTTTCAGCTTCTGCAGGAACGCCAACCGAAAGGCAAGCACTCATGATACGTCCGGAAGCAACTTAAGCACATGTAAGAGGGGAAGCTAAACAAAGAACCACGTTTGCAGCGAAATAGAAACCTGGACTGCCATCATCATGATCAAGGAAACGCTCGCCGGATATCTGCTTTTTGCGGGGCAGTTACCATTCTCACGATCCTCGGCGGCAGCGGAAGTCACACCACGTAAGAGGCGGCTGCTACGCGAAGCTGATAAGTCGCTATCGATATGTCCAGGTCTTCGCCAAAAGATATTTCGGAAGTCGTACAGGACATGTGGCTGTCGAAACTTAAGGGTATTCCTCACGCCACAAGCCGCCATTCGTGGAAAACTCGCGATCTCGAGTACCTCGCGCGATCCCCACAACAACACTTGTATTTTCAGAAGCTGGGCAAACCTCAAAAACAGGTTCCCGGTAGCGAGTGTGCGTCGAGTTACGGCGAGGTTAGTTGATGGTCAGCTGGATGTTTTGGACAGGACCTGGAAGGTGCCGATCGTATGGAGTACCGCTCTTGAAGCTACTAAGATGCAATTACATGTAGTTGCGGCGTCAGAATTTGATACAAGACAATCGCTTTCTGACCACTGATTTCATACTCTATTGGCTGCGATTAATATTACTTCCACCAGGCGTCCGATATTCTGGTGACATCAGGCTTCCAGCAGCTACACCACATATGCTGAAACCAACAAGCTAGTATTATCTGATCCTTGCGTAGATCGAGTACGCCTCCGCGAACACCTTCCTCATCTTCGGAGACGCCGTTGTTGCGAAGAGATCTGCATTTAGCGAATCTGAGATTGACACCCGCAGCTTCCAAGCAGGAACAGCGGCTCATAGTCAAACACGCGGCAGCGTAGACAGACCCCTGAATGCAACGTTATCCAACCCTCGATGGGGATGGCCGTGTCGATCTTACGCAACGTCAAGTTAGCCTAGTCTGCTCACCACGGCGATGCCGTCGCCACGTCGCCACGTGACCCGCCCCTACATCAAAGCTTCCGTATCCGGCAAGTGGTAGATTCTGCAGAAACAATGGTACTATTTCAATGAACGTACTAAATAGTGAAGAAGCAATCCCATCCTGAGACAGCGCATGCATAACATATAAGAACTTCAGAACTATAACTCAGCCATTTCATATTATGGTAACTGATCGTCGGGGCATGTTTACGAGCATCTTCCTCACTCGCTCGCGGCGAGTTACGAAGACACCGATGCGAACGTAGTGCTCGCTTTGGCTTGTTCTCTGTAGTACCAAACCCCTGACCAAGTCGGTATGCCCATTGCTTTCTTTAGTCTCGACGATACACAATAACGTGAGCTCTTTTGATATGTCTTGCATGGGTACGTCAAGTATGATCTCTTCGATCCGATGACCATCAATACCTATATAAACAGCTGCATGGTGTGTAAGATGAGGTGGAAATATACTTTTTATCCCCATTGGATTTCCGTAGGAAGGCCGTTCACTCGGTCTGTCATCATCATCTTCGTTCCATAAAACTGACGCAACTGGCCCGGAGAGCTTTACGAACCCTGATGATATTCGGCCGAAACGATAGTTACCGTGACAGGATACACTTGCTTCCTCGACTGTCGCTAAGTAGTCTTCAGACTTGTAGTTGACCCGGCACGCTGCGAACGAGACTCGGCCATCGATCGAGGCCCAGGACCATGTCGGTGCGATGTAATCAAAGTATCTGCGCGCGGGATGCACAGTTTTATCAGATTCGCAGACGCCACAGTATGAGGGTTCCGCCTCCAGTGGCGGGCAGTCCGAATACCCGTACCGACGATACATGCAGTTACAGTGAGTCTTGAGACGCTTTATCAGCCCAAGCGTGTGGATTTTGTTCGAGACGTAGGTATATATCGGTTGCCAGAGGAGGGAGACGGGCAGTGACGATTGCCATAAGCCTGCAAGATAGCCGTCGCCGACTTTACTAGATTCAACTGCAACGATTGTCTGTGCAATTCCTGACAACGCTATAAGCTTGTCAACTGGGAAAGTCAAATTTCCCATGGAATAAAACTCAACAACCGAGTACCAATCCCGATAGACTGACGTGTCATTCAAGCCAGCGTACAGTGTTATTTCATGAACAACGACAGGTCGGAAGATCGATGTAAATTTATCCCAAAGACTTTGGACATTTGGGATATCCTGAGAGGCTTTTGAGACATACTTCGCAGGCCATCGGTTGTCTTTCGGTTCGTCTCCAAGCTGTAGTCGTTTGATGTTGATATATGGATGGTTTCGGAGACTGGCAGGTAGACCGTGATGATAAGTCTCGCATGCGACAAACTCTCTGCATTCCCAAAAGAGCTGCTCTTGTCCAAAATGAATAACGCGAGGCGAGAGAATGCGCTCTTGTAGTACCCAGCAGCGCCGATTCAGTGGCTCATTCACCAGTTTTCGAGTCCACAAGTCTTTATGCAGTACCAAACGATACTTGACTTTCGGCAGTTCTCCATTGTTCTCGCGCGAACTGTCGTGCCATTGGATGTACACTTCCGCAGGTAATACAGTTCGTCCATCTCTCTCCCGAAAGCAGCCTCCGGTGCTACTGTCTGATGCAGTGGCAGCTATATTGATGAAGGAATACATATAAACCTTACTCATCAGATCAGCCTCCTGCTCCCAATCGTGCGTATCATCCTGAATGATACACAAAGAATCTATCCACAGGTAGCGTATGGAGAGAGTTCTCGCAACTCTGATTGCATCCTTGAAAGTTGATGGTAGGTTGTGATGGGGGATTTCGCGCCGATAATCCAGTATGTTGAGTTGAGTCGTTCTGATAAGTGGCGTCTTACCCCAGCAGTGAGAAAGTGTGGCATATGGCTTACTAGATAGAGGAGGTGTTTCATCGCGATCTAACAGTCGTATCAAATCGTCATGGAAGGTACCAATGTCAAGTAAACGTGTTGGAACCCAAGATTTTAGGGTAGCTGCATTACATCGGCCATGATCTCGAGTGCATTGGCTTAGCCAACGAGCTATCAGATCCCAGCTTTGGGGCGAGTCTGTAGACGAAGAGGGCATATATTCGACTAGGTTGCCTTCGCTGGTTTGTGAGCGACAGCTAGAAGGACCGGTAATATAGTACCCACTTACCGTCGGTATCCTCAACCATCTCGAGGATAAAACGCATATTGAAGCCATGGCCATCCCCCTTGAACTTGATGCCATAGCCGTCCTCCGTGGACTTGACGCCATGCATCTCTTTGCACCTGAAGGTCAACTCAAAGGAACTTTGCCAAGTCATTGAGAACTTATCGAACTGGCATTCGGTCGGAAAGAATTGATCGAACCAAGTTTTAGTCTTGTATATGCCTAGCCACGACGGCAGTTTGTGTGGGCTGGCCCAGTTGTCTTTCAGGGAACGCATGAGTTCTGTGCATATGCCGCAACCACTATTGGAACTCTCTTCGAGCGATGTGAACGTCTCGTGATGAGAAAAGCAAGTATATTTGCCGAATGAGGAGCCAATCTCTGAAAAAAGGCTCTGGCATGCTTTGCACAACGCGTTAGTACTAGTCGAAGCCATGGTAAAGATGAACGATGTTCTTGAGTCTACAGCGCGCGTAGACCAATGTGTGATCAAAGTATGGCATCACAATTCGTGATTATCGTAAATACTGGACATCACATGACAGATGGTAGGCTGAGCAAGAACAGCACCCCACTTCCTCCATCTGGTCGGTTGGCGCCTACAAGGCTCCATCCATTCGTCAACTTGCTGCGCCCTGTGTTACCGCCACATTGTGAAACTAAGCGAGAATATAAGGAACGCATAACAGCATGGATGATAAACCCCGGGTTTCTGTAGCGATAGCTCAAATCTGGGAGCCGTGAGTACCGCCGGTGGTCAGGCTATTCAAACTAATCACAAGTCACCGATAAGCAATTCGGAGAGGGCAAATCTCAACAAGCACCAGTATATGCTGTGATAGCATTACATTGTCTAGTCACCTCCACGGGCATGAAATCGTACCTAAGATACCTCTCCGACACCCCCTAAGACCCTCTTATCACTCCCCGTAACCGTCTGCCCCTTCGCCTGAGCAAAGTTCGCACTCCTTTCATGCGCCGGATTGGGGCTATAGAACTCATCGACGATAGGATGAATCATAACAGTTTGCTTGGAGATAGTGAGCGTACTGTTTGTTGGGACCGTGACCCAGTTATCTGTCATTGTTAGTTCAGTCGAGAGGAAAAGGTACAGAAAGTAACATACCACGTTCAAACGTCAACGGTTCGCTAGCCACCAGCACAATATCACTTCCCTTATCCCTGCGTTCCATAACATAGTCCCTCTCTCTCTCCTCATCATCCACAGAACTCGCACCCGCATCCGATCCCACCGACTGGCCATTGAGTTCCCTCCAACTCGTCCCGCTGCTAAAGAACAAACTCGCCGCCTCATCCGTCTTACTACTCACATATCGCGAGCACACAACACTAACACCGTCTGTGACAGCAAAGTTGAGCAGACTCCTACTATCCTCTTCCCCAACCCCACCCCCTTGTTCCCCAACAACATCCCTGATGAACCCGTTGAGCCGTTCAATCGTCTTCAGTATCGCTTTCCTCAACACCGTATGTCCAAAGCCCACACCAGCTTCCACCTCTTTATCCGGGCTTATCCCCGCTTTATCTAGACAATCTAAGAATGTAGCAAACGCCCACTCGCTGTCTGTTGAACCACCCACAACATTGAACCACTTCTCATCCAGGCTCATAGCAAGCCGGCGTTTGATCTGTTTCCAGCAGCCGATGCCGCCATTATGCATGAACATGAGGGACTTGTAGGAGAACGGATGGCAGTTGCTGTCGCTGAGGTTGCCTTCAGTTGTGGCGCGCACGTGGGCGAAGATGAGCGAGGATGTGGTTTTGGAGGCGATGCGCGAGAGATTTATGCAGTTCCATGCTGGAATCGTGGAGGTGAAGACGCAGGGCGTGAGGCCTAGGGAGGGCGACGTGTAGTAGCCGATGCCGAAGCCGTCGCCGTTGTGCGGGCGGCGCCTGTCCTGGTGATGAGTGCGTTAGTAGGGGAGATGTGGGTTCGTGGGAAGAGACGTACTAGACGGAGGCGCGAGTCGAAGGACTGTGTGAGGATGGAATGGGAGGGGTTTAGAATGAGCTCCGAGAGGAGTATCTCATCCTTGCCTTTGTAGACCTTTGGTTGTTAGCTATAGCGCGGCGGGTGTAAGATGCCATACTTACCATGAATCTACACATGATGGGTGGGTGTTGTTGTATATTCGACGTTCAGTACAACGGTATCATGCAGAATTAGCGATTGTGATATAACTGTCAGGAGTTGTGAAGATGCTGGTGAGTTGGCTGCGAGGTCGGCGCGGCGGTGTGTTCGCCATGATTGCGCCATCGGTCCAGGGCATTGCTTGAGACATCATTGGGTTGTGCAAGTTGTGCAGAAACACGGTCGACACGCGCAGACAGATAGACAGAAGCCATTATGAATGGCACGCGACATGCTATCGCGAACCGAGCGCAGAAACAACTAACCCCACGCGTGGTTCGCGGAGGTATGCCGGCGGGGGTGTCCAGGGTTCCGCGGATGACGCACTTACTTTCCCAGCTAGCTCCGTTTAGTTCACGACTTCCTGGGTTCGCGCGCGTCTCGTGATGACCCGATTACAGTCACTTAGGATTGGACCTTGCTTTGATTAGTTATGACAAGACGTTGATTTGCTGGTGGTGTCTGAAGTAACAACTGTTCTACATTCAAGCACGGTAGTGGTGATGCTCATTCACAATCACATGAATCTTCATCATCGCGATAGATAGTGTTGTAGACCGATTGCTCGGCGTTATATTCAACTATCTGTCTGGCGCGGCTGAACTGCGAGCGCATGTCACTCTTCCACCCAATGTGTAGAGCTCCATCCAGAGCAGACCGCCCAGTCCAAACCATTGCGATCTTCAGACAGCTAGGCAAACACGCAACGCCGGGGATATGATGCGGTTAATGAACATGGGAGGGGTACAAGACGGTGTATCTTTAAGGCTTCATTTAAATCATGGCGAAGTGATAGCTGGAAAGGATGGGGGTATTGCCAAGGAAACACAAAGGTCCTCGCAATCATAGCGCTTCCGTGGATCATGTATCATATCGTGTATGATCTCCGACTTCATCCAGGATACCGCAAACACTACTAGTCGGGCTCTCGTGGCTGGCTAGCGTGGTAGAAGGGCTGCACTGCAAGCAATGCAACATTCAACTTTGGACTCGTCACGGGTCTTGTCCCGTTTACATGTCCATGGAGTCACCTCCGTTGGCAAAGTTGAAGTTTTGTTGTTGCTGCTGGCCAGCGGCGCCGAAACCGAAGTGACCCTCCTGGTTGACCTGAGGTCCGGCCTCGCCCATGTTCTCAGCCTCACCCTCCTCGTCGGAGAAGTACTTCTCGATGATGTTGTAGGCCTTCATGTAAATCTCCTCGTTGGCGTTGTTTTGGCACTCGTGGATCTTCTCCATGCCGCCGACCTCCTCGATGAAGAGAGCGTAGCGGTTGATGGGCTCGCCACCAGCACCGCCCTCGCTGGCCTCCTTGTCCATCTCGCCGACCTTGAGGATGTTCTCAAGACCGTCAAGGGCAACCTGGATGATCTTGTTGTCAGGGCAGGCCAGAAGATCGCAGAGAGGCTTGATGCAGCCGCTCTGAACGAGGTATCGGATCTGAGCAGGCTTCTGCAGACCACCGCTCGTGGCGTTGGAGATGGCCCAGCAGGCCTCCTTGCGCGTCTTGAAGTCGCCGTTCTGGAGGAGGTGGATCAGAGGAGGGATGATGTTAGCATCGATGACAGCCTGGATCTGGGTGGAGTTGCCGGCGGTGATGTTGGAGATGGTCCAGCACGCCTCCTTGCGGATTCCGTCCTTGGTGGAGCTCAACAATGAAAGCAGTGCAGGGAGCGAGCCGCAGTTGATGATGACCTGGGTCTGGACGTCGTCACCAGTCACGATGTTACCGACAGAGCGCAGGGCGGGGGTCTGGACGGAGGTGGACGCGTGCATGAGCAGCTCTACAAGACGGCGGGGGATGCCAGCCTCAATGACGGCCTGGATCTTGTCGTTGGAGCCATCGGAAAGGTAGGAGATGGCCCAGCAGGCGTCGATGAGGACTTCGTCGTCGAGCGAGTATACGAGCTTGGCGAGCACGGGGAGGGCAGGCTGGATCTGCTGGATAATTAGTATTTCGACTTAAGTGGGGCTGTAAAGAGAACTCACAGTCTGCCAGTCGGGCTGGGGGGTCTTGCCGCGGCAGAAGTTGCTCAGGGTCCATGTAGCATTGCGGAGCATGCTGAGCTTGCGGCTGTCGCCCAAGAGCGCAAGCAGCGGGCGGAGAGCACCGGCCTGCAGCACAAAGTCGCGGCATGCGGGGCTGTCACCGGCGATGTTACCCAGGGCCCAGACGGCCTGCTCCCTAACATCTGGCTCGTGGCTGCTGAGCAACTCGACGAAGATGGGCACGGCGCCCGCCTCAATGACGACCTGTGTCTGTTGCGCCGAACCCGACGCGATGTTGGTGAGGGCCCAGGCGGCCTCGAACTGCACCAGCGTGTGCGGGGAGCGCAGGAACTCGACGAAGCGGCTCACGACACCAGTCTCGATAACGCGCTCGATGGGGGGGTTGCGCTCCTTGGAGAGCAGCTTCCTGAACTTGGTTGTCGCCTGGATCTGCTCATCGATCTGTTCTGAAAAGACGCCCTTTACCATCTGCGGGAGCTCCTCGTTAAGCTGTGCGGGTGTGTCAGCCTGGTGTGCTCTGTTGCTCTCTATACGCCTGCGTTCAGAAATAGTGGGGTACAGTAGGAACGTACCTGGCTCTCGATGTTGCCGCCCTCATCGTCGCTGTCGGGGGCAGCACCGAGCGAGGCACCGGGCTGGTCACGGCCAGCAATGCCACGGCGCTTTGCGAGGTTCTCCTCACGCTTCGCCCGGCGGATCTCGACCTGTTGCTCTTCACGGCGGCGGCGGAGTTCATCTGGCTTGAAGGCGCTCTTTGCCTTGAACGTCGTGCGACGGTGCTCGGGGATGTACTTGTCGGCCATTTCTGCGACTCTCTGGATTTGCTGTGTGCTGAGTCGGGCAAGATTTGGTGCGGCGTGTTTGTTTGTAAAAGGGAGTAAACTTTCCAACCAGAGGGGTGATTTTGAAAGCGGAAGCGGCGAAGCGGGTATCGGCGCTAGTAGCTTGGCTCGAGCGCTCTACCTAAGCAACCACCATCACGACGCGTCGCGCTGGCGCAGACATGTACCCCCTCGCCCTGCATATGTTTGTCACACTTGCCCGCCTGTCTCAGAGGCCAAACACTACAGACAAAGGCCTAGCTCAAGCCACTTGCCTCCCCCTGCAATTGCTCCCACTTCTTTGACGGCCTTGCAGACTGCGCTAACCGCTTTCGGCCATCTCCAGTTGCAATGCCGCTGGAGCTGCCCAAAGGCTTCACGGCCATCAAAGACGCTACCTACCTTACTGATAGTGTCAACCTGATCGGCGTTCTCGTCAACTACGATCCGCCAAAGTCAACTAGAGGCACTTCCTGGGCCCTCGACTTCACCATCCAAGATGACTTTGCGTCCGGTGATGTTGGTGATCAGTCAAGCATCCGTTGCCGCTTGTTCAGACGCGCTGAGAACAAATTCCCTCCAATCTCTGGGATTGGCGATGTTGTCATGCTCCGCGGGTTTAAAATCCAGGAATTCAACCTTCGTAAGGAGGCTGTTGGTCGGGACATGTACGACACCAACATGCTCGTTTTTCCTAGCAGCAGGATTCCGGTCCCAGGCCTGAGCCACCCTTTCCAGGCCGGCAGTCAGAAACTGCCTCACGCCTTGACTGGAGGCCCACCGCCTACGATCCCAGAGCAGATGGCTGTCATCCATATGAAGAATGCTTCTACTGGTGCAGCGCAACAAGTGCAGCAGCATGTGGTGGTTAATACGTCGAAGGCCAGGACAAGAAGATCAGTCAGCTTGATCAAGGACTTACAATTTAATAATTACTATGATGTCCGTGCCCAGGTTGTCAACATTTACTACTATCAGATGGGAGGCCAAGTTGACCTGAAAGTAACCGACTACACTCCGAATGAGCAAATGTACAACTATGCAGACCCAGAACAGGAGCAGAGCCACTTCGCATCAGATAGGGACTGGAAAGGGCCATATGGCTTTCTGACTTTGAATGTCACCCTCTACGGAGCGAACGCGACCTGGGCATCGGAAAACCTTGCTAATGGCGACTATGTCTTTATGAGAAATATGCGAGTTAAGACGTCCAGTAGGGGTTCCCTCGAGGGCGCGATACATGAAGACCGCCGGAACCCGTCAAAGGTCGACATACGTCACATGGGGAACACGACCGACATAGAGGAGATTGACAAACGCCGAGAAGAGTACGAGCAAAAACGTGGGAACAAGACGGCGTTCCAGGCTATGCAGAACGAACCCAAGAATACCCTAGGCAAAACTTCGAAAGAAAAGAGACAAGCGAAAAGAGAAAGGCAACGAGTACTGAAACAGGCCGAGCAAGACGAACTGGAGAAGAAACAACAAGAGTTGGAGAGGACTCGTGGCGGGGTCAATCCCAATGGTAAGATACCTTCTTATCCGTCATCCTATATACTAAGCTCCTTCAGTCATCGCTGCTTATCCTGACATAAAACCCTCCACCATCTCCGAGATCATATACAACCATCACCTCGAGGTTCAGACCCCAGAAAAGCACCATAGTTATAAGCTCCCCTTCATCAACTGCAAACATCGGTCTCGCGTCCGTGTAGTAGATGTTTATCCTCCCGAGCTCAAGCTGTTCGCACACTCCAAGAGCGATAGAAAGTGGAGAGGGCAATCTAAGAACCAAAGAGCCGCTGACGGTCCAACGAAAGAAATCTGGGAATGGGGGTTTGTTCTCCTGCTCGAAGATGCAAGCATACCCCGCGATACAGTATCCGAGAAGTTGCGCGTGGTCGTGAACAATGATGCGGCGATGTTCCTCCTGGGGATGAGTGCTAAAGAGTAAGATGACACGCTTCATGATGGCTTGGACGTCTGCTAATACGCTTATAGTATCATAAACAAGCCCACCGCTCTCAACCAACTCGAGGAGAAGCTCTTCATCTTATGGGGTAACCTCATGGAGCTCAAAACAGAGCTGAGAGATCGAGCAACTGACCTTCCCCTACCGCCGGGAGACAACCGCCTAACGAACAAGCCTTTCGATGCTTGCATTGAAGAGTATGGCGCCGAGGTGCCTATATCAGCCGAGAATCCGTACGGCTATCAACGCATGTTCAAGCTCTCCCAAACGAAGATTCAGAACTGAGTTTCCTCTTTGCCACACTTCGGTATGCAAGTTCGCTCTGCGAATTCCTTTTCCATATGATACCCTTTCCTCTTTCTTTCCTTCTTTCTGGAGTTTTTTACTGAGAAGACATTGAGACATACGAGAGGTTGAGATTTACGTTGAGACGAAGGATCTTGCACGAAGCTCGAAAGTAGGCAGGCATTACATCTCGACCATCTCTTGCATCTGCAATTGGCGTCAAACTCCGAGGTGAATGGATCGATTGAGTTCAATAGATATCATGCGTATTTGCGGGTTTCAATCTTTTTCATTCGTTGCGAGGATCATTGCTCACTGCAGGTAGAACTGGGGTATGCATCGTATTGTACGTAACCGGGCCTCGGACCAATCAGCCATTTCATACGCCGCATGTGAACTTGCGACTGCTACTTCCCTTGGAGAACTCCAACTGTTTGCGAGTGTTGATCATGAGGGGTCTAGCACGACATTCGTCAGATTGCGTGATCCGACGTGCTTGTAGCGAAAGGTCACCCATCAGTCACCGCAACTTCAAGCTTGCGAGATCGCGTGCTCACCACGCCTGAATTGAACACCTAAAAGCTTTTTCATAATCACACACTGCCGTCAATTAGACCTATTGTAGGTGATACTTACCGTTGAGTGTTCGCGAACTATCATTCCAAGAGCGGAGAAGAACACTTTATCAAGCTTGCCCAGTGCGACAAATCGGTACCGAACAACTACATAAAGAAGACCCTTCCAGTTACATCTAAGAAACTCACCCGAGCTATGGCTGTCGAAGGCGCGACCACGATGATACAAGCTCATGGTCATCGCATCACCGTCAAAACTCCCCTGTCACCGCCCGAGGCGTCCACCGCCAACGACGACGAACTGCCACCTACAGCACCACAATCGGACGTGTCATTACACATTCACAGCGTTCAACTCCTCAATCCGGAAAGCATAACGTCCGAATTCGACAAACTGCGTTTCGAAGCCGCAGCACATGACCAACTCGTCTTCCACAACCCACAGCTCTACCAAACTGCAGATGATATTTCCAAACATTCGACCCCAAATCAAGACCCCGAAACACTCTCCACACTCCTGATTTCCTCCCCATACAATATCCCCAACCACTATCTCGACCTCTCCTCCCCTCACCTAACCATACCCTCCCGTCTTCTCGCACTAGCCCTGACAGCGCTCAAACCGGCTACCCCAACCTACGCAACTGCGCCGTACCCTCTCGCCCTGAATTTCTCTGTCGTACTAGCCCTTCTGCGTACCCTCATTGCGCAGGAAAAGTACGAATGGAAAGAAACGTCATTCTACGTCGTTGTCTTCCGTTCGCAGCTCAAAGAGGACATTGATCAAGAATGGCTGTACCGACTTGATGAGGAGAGTCATCGTGAGGCGTGTGAGAGTGGAGGGCTATTGAAGTATTGGTTCGGGAAAGGGGACGAGGAGAGGAGGAATCTGGCTACTTGTACGTTGTGTCTGCTTTCTCCCTTTCTTTTCAGTCATGCATCCTCGTGAGGTGCTATCTAATGAACTGAGACTGACGATCTGAACAGGCTTCTGGCATAGTAGGGAAGACGCGTACAAAGGCGGTCTCGGTCCCTGGCATAAGAAGGCAAGAGCCGCAGGACGGGAGTTGTATGAGAGTATCGTGTTTAGTACCTACCGGCTTATCATCAAGGATGGGGCAGAAGAATACGAGTTTGAGGACTATAAGGGCTGAGAAAACGATTTTGGATGTGGGAAAGGTGCATAACCCCAGTCACGGTATTCGACGATACTCAGAGAGCGAAGAGGCGTAAGAGAACATGGGGCAATGATCGGAGGGTATGGGTATGAGGATAGAGAAAGCACATGCTAGAGTGAACATAACAACTGTAACATAGGTTTAAAGAATCGTGAAGAATGTACAGCACTCGATTGCCAGAATGATCTATACCATGCCCTACTGTACAATGCATATTTCGCATGCAAAGCTCGAATTACATAGAATAGTTCTGTCCCGTCTCGTCGTTCGTGTGGGATGGATGGCTTATGGTCGGATAACACGAAGGCCGTCTTTTGGGGGTGATGCTGCGCGCTTGAATGACTGTTCCACATGTTAGCATTTGACATTCTGAACATTTATCTCTGTAGGGGGAGTTCTCACGTTGTCGCACTCTTCCCATGCCCTTCCGGCACCGAATCCGAGACCGACGAATGCGGGCCATGCGCGACGCTTGAAGAGGAGTACGGAGAAGACGACACCGAATGATAGACCGAGGCCGGAGCGGATGAGCATAGAGGAGAGGCAGCGGTCCCACTAGGTAAACATGTTAGCATTACTGTCCGGCAATCTCCAGTGCTCTTATCTCCGTATAGAATCGGCTTGAAAGTGGGCAGGAGTCGACTAAAGTGGGCAGAAGTCGCGTGAGACGGGCCAAGATTGCCATTGACCGCCCAATTCGCCTCTATGACATTCCGGTCCCCCTCTCTCAAGCCATAAAACGGTGTGCCGTGTGCCTCTATCACTATGTCCTGGGCCGTACCTTTTCGTTGAGGAGAGCTTCGCTCATGGGACGTGTGGTGCGCGGGATGGAGGCAACGGGCTGGGGGGTGTTGTCGGCCATGGTGTGTAGATGTGTTCGAGGGCAATTGATGGGTTCAACGGCGCACTCGGTGTGCTTGGAGTGATGGACAGCGGTTCGACGTGGTGTTGAGCGTCTCTGGGCGGAGCTGCAAGCGGAACTTTGACGTCGCCGGCCCTTGGCAGGAACGACCAGGGTAGTCTGGTCCGTGCCCAAACTTTTTCCGCATACCAGGGCTGCGCGATCTTCTCAAGGTCTCTGCATCCACAAACGGGGAAAGAGGTGACAAGATGGCGCCAAGCAAGCCAGTAAGTGTGTTCGGTGTTACGAGTTTGAGAAAGCGCTGACACGGTAGAAGGCCTCGCAGAATGATCCTGCGTCCACCCGGCCGCGACTGCAAGCCATCAACCAGGACTTCTCCGACCTGGACGAGCAGATTCGCCAAGCTGCGCATATCATAGGCCTTCCTGACGACTGGAGTACGATACAAGACCAGGAGGTCCGATCAGATATCATACAAAGACTTGTGCGCGCAAGGGCGGAATGGGTCCTGCGCTGGATCCTCGACAAGTTGAAAGATGAGACGGAAACCGGGCGGGCGGCGCGAGCAAATGTGAGCGCATGGCAGCTTCTAGACTGGATGATACACGTTCTGCCTGTATCTCGTAGTGCGCCACATCTACGGGACGCCAGCTTCCCCAGCATATTGGAGAGAACGCTCGTGGAGAACTTCGACACAGACTCGACTATACAACCCGCAGCCACTTCGGAAGATGTCGACATGAAGGACGACTCGGAATCAAGTGCGACTATCCGAGAAGGAACCAAGCCATCCAAGAAACGAAAACGCGGCACAGCTGAGGCATCACCTTCGACATCGGCCGCACTTGGTCCTGTCGATCTTGGCCATCTTTTCCGCGTGGTCAGGGCAGCAGTTGATTCAATCGCGCACCTGGCTGGGAGTGACAAGTCCGACGATGTCACTCAAGCTGAGCTCATGAAGATGGTCTTGAGGACAGAAAGTACCCAGGCTTCGCGCATCCTCAGATTCTGGCTTTCTGGTGTCCGAATATTGTGCGCAGCTCGCTCTCCCGCTTCCGATGATACCCCTCTGGACGAGCATCTCCAACTGTCACTTGCGCTTGAGATGTGGGATTTGCGCGCTGTGGAGACCAAAGACGAGTCTGGAGCCTCCGCTGAGGAATTCAACACAGAGTGCCTAGTACCGACTTTGCTACTCTTGGAACATCTCAAGTCCCTGCGCAGCAGAGACACGACGCAATTTTCCCAACGTACCCTAGACTGCGCGATTGCAGTGCTCGACAAGCTGTTGGCGAGACATTTGCTTGCGCCTTCAAGAGCTGCTTTCTTCACCGATGCCGAAATCGCCGCACCCTCTGCCAGTACCGGTGCAAACTCTACAAGTGCTGGACTGAAGACACGGGATGCGACGGTTCTTGCGAGTAACCTGGAGCCGCTCCGCGCAAAGCTTCTTCAGGCAGCGCAGATCGAGGATGGTGGAGATGCTCTACCTGCAGAACTCGCGCTGCTCTTCGACACAGTACCTCATGTGCTAGATCTAGCCATTCGCGCTTCTCCGTCACGGACACCCAAGAGCAGAGCTATGGAAAAGCCCTGGCTACAGGCTGTCTTCCCCGCGCTTGCAGAGTGCGCTGGATGTTCGCTGGTCACTCCCCCCGAGTATATCACACGGCCAACCGCCGTTGCTGCTCTCAGTGGCGCTATCCGTATTCTGCAGGTACATGAAGTGAGCCTTTCTTCGGACCTCATCAAGAACATCTTCTGGTACCATTGCGGGGTGAAATATCCCGAACGTCAAGAGAAGCAGGTGCATTGGTCGCTGATCGCATCCTTGATTGAGCTTGATTCGTCAGTGTTTGCTGTAGAGTCCAAAGTTGGAGCGAGAGGCTCGCAAGACCACACAGATCTTGCCGAGTTTGTCTTTGAGAAAATATCAGCTACAGAATTAGAGGGCTCAGGCTTCTCTGATGACGGAAGTGATGCTCAGCTGGGAAGATCCGCAATCTTGGAGCGAATCATCAACCCATTGATGCTGGCTTTCCTGCGGAACCGTAACCTGCTAGGCTTTGTCCGAAGATGGGATGACCAACTGGTCAAGAGCTTTAGACACGGCAAGCGCAAGACTCTTCAAGAGCGACAGGACATCGTGTGGGAAGATCGTGCTTTGTGGAATACTTTGGCTGAATCTTTCGAGTCATCATTAACCCAAAGCCAGATAACTACACTGATTCAGGAGCACGGGGAGCGCCTGGCACAGCTCGCTGGTGCGATCGAGACTGCCACCAAGGAGAGTGTCAAGGTCAAGAAACTCGCTGCGTACAAGAACGCCGCGAGTAGTGCTATCTTGCTTCCAGCTTTCCTTCAAGCTATCAAGTCTGAAAACAATATTGCAGCAGTAAAAGCCGACCTTCGTGCTCTATTTCTCACCTACGCTTCGTGGGTCCAAGAGCGTCACTACAGCTTGTACACACAGTCCCATCTATCTTGGTTCACACTGTGCCAATTGCTGGCGAAACTGTGGCCTATCGAACTTCACGCCTCTTCACAGTTGCAACAGGAATTGCTTTACCCGCTGCTGGAACAAGCTATAGAAGTTATGTCGACGACATCCAACGACGCTGGACGGGGCGCAGATCCTACCATACGAGCAGCTGCGGTACTATTCTGGCTCAACACATGTGATCGCCTACAAACACTCCCTGGTTCCAAGATTGTCATCCGCAGTGGCTTAGCCAGAGTCATGGACTGTTTCTCTTCCAGTCAGCTAGACACCGAAGGACAGCGATCAATGATCGAAATCTTCTGTGCCTATTCCGTCAACCTCCTTGAGCACGTGGAGATCGATGCGTGCCGCCAATCGCTGTCTACCATATTATCAAAGCTTCCACAGTTCGACGGCGTCACTAGCGATCTTGTCTGTCGGTCACTTTCTCAATCTATCATCGAGGAAGGAAACTCAGTCATACAAAACGCATACTGCGTAGCCCTTCTGGAAGCACTTGGGCAAGGAGCTGGAATGAGGATGCACGCTGTGGCCGGTGAAGCGATACTTCATATCCACCCTGCTGCTTTGTCCCGTGAGCAGAGACAAGCAATACTGGACCGCACAGCCGAACTTCTGGACCTCGGGCAGACGAGCACGATGATAGTACTGAGCATCATGGCACACCTTCAGCAAGTTCCAAATGCAACAGCCAAGGTCTCTACGGATGCAGACGTCATCTTTAGCATTGCAGAACAGCTGCATAGCCAACAACTCGAAACAGACTCCGCGCTGCAACTGCTACGAGAGCTTGTGCAAAAAACTCTTGGACATATCATTCCGAACCAGTCACAAGCGCAGAATAAAGAGTTTTTCATCGACTACGCCGGAAAATCTTTATCTGTGGCTAAAGCTACGAGCAAATGCTCGCTAGCGAGACTCTCGATCCTCCGAGCGACGTCGATGGTCCAAAAGCAAAACTCTCTGCTTCATATCGAACGTTACGTCGAACTTTTGAAGCAATGCCTTGGAAGCGAGGACATGGCGTTGCTGCTAGGGTCGTTGGACGCTTTCAACGAGCTGTCAACAGACGCCTTGAAAGACGTCAAGCAATTCAGCCGCATCCAGACATGGCTCCGTACGTGGCTGAAGGATGCCCTCGATCTCGACCAGTATATTGGTTCAGAGGTCCGCGTCCCGAGCGAAGCTGTTGACTACGTTGCACGGGTATATGCATTGGTCGCCAAATACGAGCTTTACCAAGATGCGAAGTGGCTGATCTGTCTGTCGCTTACTGTGCTTAGAGGAAGCTCAGTTCATGTACAAGGCGCCGTGTACAGAACACTCAAGACCACACTCGAACCGCTTCCTTTCTACGAGAAGTTGGATCTTATCACAACACTGGTTGTAGATCAAAAACAGCCAAATCTGGCTGCCTCGTACCGTATCCTCGGTGATCTCATCGACACTATGGACGATCAGCTACAATCTAACGCAGAGATGAGACAAAAGCAGCTCGCGCTGTTGCCTAGGATCTGCGTTCTGCTCACCGAGAGTCCTGATTTCGAGTCTTTCAACGCTCTGCTCAACTGCATTGACACAATCCTGAACGACAAACCTTCGCTTGCATCACAATACAGCATCGAATGCGTCTACAGCGTGCTTGTCAAGCTCACATCACGAAGCAGTCCCGCACTGTCATCTCAGTATGCTCCTGACATCTTTTCAAGGCTCTGCCAGACGAGTCGCCTGACCCTACTTGTACATCGAGGCCGCCTAGGTGGACGTTTCCACCTACTCCTACCCCTTCTACAAGGCCTACTGTTTTGCCTCTTCATTCCAAATGCTAGTCGCAGCGGCGCTCTACCATCATGGCTACGCGCAGTCACCGCTACTGAGCCCGTTCGCCTAACACCCACGAATGCAGCGCAATTCACACGTCTTTTGTCTACCCTTTGCAATCCACCTCAATCATCCATCACGAAGGCGCATCAACACCATCAATCCCGCAAGTCTAAAGACCTCAATGACCCCGTCAAAGCGGCTCGTGACCGAGCGAGCAACTTCCTTTACCCGCTTCTCGCATCTTTCTGCCGCTACCAGCTCAATGGAAGATTGGATCAGGGGGTGAGGGAGAAGTTGATGCCGGGCATCTGGGAAGTGTTGGGTACAGCGAGCTTACATAGAGAGGGGCTAGATGCCATGTTCGCTGGTTTGGGCAGGAGTGAGAGAGACGTCTGGAAGGGTCTTTGGGAGCAGTGGGAAGGTGTGCATGGGAGAAGGCAGGTGGTCGGTCACGGGGAGTAGAAAGTTTTGCGTCGCGAGGTATGACTCGCATGAGAACGCACTGGAATTCCTTTTTGATACAGTACTAGGCGCATCGTGCTGTTGACATATTTGCAACTATCGCAAACACTCACGTATCGATCCCTGCATATACAACAAGATTTGTACCACACTGCGTGCCAAGAAGTCTACTCTCACCTTACTTCCATTGTCGTGCCATTGTCGTCTCACTATTGTCTTCCCGCTATTCTTGAAGCACTCACCTGGTCGTTGTTTCTACGGGTACAATAGATCTGTGTCACTTACTCTAACAACGGCAGTGCGCTGCTGGTATATCTCGACGTCTTGATCTCCCCAACTGTCCCTCAACAGCCTTAACTCAGGATCTTCAAGACAACACAATCGTAAATTCCAGATACTCTACTACCGACACTTTCAGCACACTTAATCCCATAACAATCATGGATCCAACCATCACCGCGGCCACTGCGCCATCTCAGTCCCACTTCCATTCTTCAACTCCTCCAACAAGCGCTGGCGCTTGCCACCAGAAACTCAGTATCTGCATCTGCACCACACCTTCTTCTAAAATCTACCTCACCCCAATCATCGGCTGCGCAAACAAGAAGTGCCGCCCCCGATATTACCACCTCCGTTGCGTGGGCCTCTTTCACCGTCCCGAAAATGCATCTTCATGGCTCTGTCCTAAATGTGCACCTGATGCCCCCGTTCCGCCACGCATCTGCATCTGTGAAGATGCGCCGTACCGCACTGGGCCTATGGTTGAGTGTGCCCAGCATGAGCTGTGTAAGACGCGATGGTTTCACTTGCCGTGCGCTGGAGTTGAGTTTGGCGCGGAGGATACGGAGTGGACTTGTGGAGAATGTGAGGTCGTGATCATCATGCAGCAAGAGCGTGAGGAGGAGATGGAGCGACGCCGAGCAAATGGTAAGGAGGTCGAAGAGGTGATTGAAGGGGTTGCGGAGCAGCAACAGAAGGAGAAGGAAAGAGATAGGGAGAAAGTGGTGGAGCTACCGCAGGCGGACGATGGAGCAGCTGGGGATGAGGAGAAGGAGGACGAGACCGAGCAGCAAGAGTACATTCCGGACCATATTCCGGGTGCCTTCCTGAGTGAAGATGAAGAAACGCCTGCGCCTGCTGCCGCTTCTCCCTTGAAGCGTAAGTCCGACGAAATCGACATCCCGCGTCGGAAAAAGTCGAAGCAAACTCCTACACCCTCTCAATCTCCCGTTTCCGAAGACACCCCGGAGTACTGCATCTGCGGTACCCCAGCAGACAACGACATGATCGCTTGCGATCGGCCGAGTTGCAATACTGAGTGGTTCCACTATGTCTGCGTGGGGTTGACGTCGGCGACGATTCCGGACGGGGAGTGGTTTTGTGAGGGGTGTGAGGCAACTAGGGAGAAGGCGAAGAGGAACAAAAAGAAGAAGAACAAGGGGGGGAATGGCGGCAAAAGGACGCGGAAGAGTTGAGGGGGGTTGGAAGCTGGGTGTGTATTGGTGCTAGTTCATCAAATGTGCCTTCTATTCAGTATCTTTCAAAGATTTTGAGTACATGGTAGAAAATGAAAGCATGATCATGGTAGGAAATCCATCATTCTTTATGCACAGGGGCTCTATGCTTGACTTATCGCTTCAAGTTCGTCTTTGCTCGATGCACAACTGCAGCCAACTCGCCGTTAGATAGACGTCCCAATGGACGAACGCGGTCAAAACGAGGTTTCATTGCTAGGTGACTATATTGAAGATATTGTCTGAAACCAAGCCATGTGCTATGCCTCCGCTGTTCTACGCAACTGCGCAATAACGCTGGAATCTATGCTAAGTCTAGATATATTCCCAGAAGCACAAGAACCCCAATATATATATACGGTAATCATGCCGTATAATTCTAAGCCCGAAGCGTGATCGTCTTCATAGGTACATTGGTAGGTCCAGTGTACGTGTACGAGTCATCAAGAGTGATTGTCTTCATAGGCTCATGACTAAGGATAGTCATGTCAGTGACATCTGTCGCAGTGGCGCTAGGGCGCTTGGAATGATCGATAAAACTGAGGCTCGCAGTGTAAGTACCAGCTTCGATGGTGGCGGGCTGCCATTCGTGGGTAAGTGTTGTGGTAATGGTTGAAGTACGACCAGCAAACTCCAATGTGTAGGTCTTACGTCCACCAGAAAAAGTGGTAGGAGTAGGATACACAGCAACAAATTCTCCTTCAACAACACTACGAGGGACATAGCTTGGAAGAACGTGATGGGGGCGGCGGGTGCCAATACGAGTGGCGGTGGTCGTGATATCGCAGCAATGTGGCGCAGGCCTCCACTCCTTGGTCCAAGCATTCCAACGCTCTTCTCCTTCTTCTTTGCCTTTGAACTGGGGGGCGGCGATGTCTCGCTTGCTGTAGACGGTAACTGTAGTGTCAGGACCAGCATAGGTGACGGTCACCATGGGGCCGGAATGATTGATAGCTGTAGCGGTAGTGGTAGTGGGATCGGGGCTGTCGAGGGTGGTAGTGGTGGTGGTGGTAACGACAGGACGGGGTAGGGTGATGGTCGTAGTGATAGCACCAGCTGGAGTAATAACGGTCTCAGAGCCAACATGCACATATTCAGGGGTAGTCTTGGGGATCCTGACAGTAGTAGTGGCATCATACTCGGAGGGAGTAGGGTATTCAAACAGAGTCCTGCGGTCCTTCTGGTTGCCAGTAAAAATGGTCTCAGTCTTTGTGACAGTTACGAAGACCTCTCTAACTGGGGAAACTTTCTTGTATGCTAGGTTTATGCATTAATATGGGTGGGTTCGTATATGAACGTATGAGGATCTTACCGTTAGAGCCACGCATAGCAATCTTGAAAGCTTCACCGTCAGCATCGACTGGGCCAACGTGCTGACCGAAATTTGTGCACGAAGAAAGCTGTTCAGGCTCTGAATAGAGGGCACACTTGGTGACGAAGATGGGAGCAGGATTGGGGCAAGCAGGTCCGGGAACTACGGACGGATCGCGCTGGATGTAAATGTTGACTACATAGAAGGGTGAAGGTTAGTAGGGCTATATGAAAGTGTCAGGAGACATAACTTACAGGAGTCACAACCTTCGTACTTGTTGCAGAGTTCGGCACATGTCTTCGAATTGTATGATTTTAGTTGAACATACAGCATGTACTTGGTGGACGCGAAGGCACAGTCTGCGTTGCTCATGGCGAGAGCGTAGCCGGTGGGGACGGGGGCAGACAAGGCCAACGAGCTGTACTTGGCGTCCTCTGCGAAGCCCGAAAGAGAGTTGGAAGACGGCTCCGGAGCGGTGCTGTTACCGCGGGAGAGACAGAGAGCATCGGAACGGGGCATAAAAGTGGGAACGATGGGGGCGAAGATGATGTCGGACTTGGCGACAGAGGGCAAGACAGCAGAGAAGGCCGCACCGACGAAGAGGAAGATGGTGGTGATGGAGAAGACAAAGTCCAACATCTTGGTTGGCCTTTTGTACGTGGACCTATCTTAGGTTAGCCTACGTCTTTCACAATTGTGCTTATAGCCACATACGTTTTGGAAGGTATAAATGCCTAAGCAAGATGGTTAAAGATATGTCTTACTATATCTGACTCGGACTTTGAGTTTGCGGCAGAGAAGATTGATGGTGTGGTGAGGAAGGTCTTGAGGGAATGAGTATGTATTTATACACATCCCCAATTTATCTCGAGAAGAAGGGAGTATCGGTAGTATTTGGGAAGGTAGAACAGTACCATAGAACGGTCTTTGATGACTACGAAACATAGTCATGATATTGAAGAAAGGGGAAATGTTCCCACCATTCCATGCTGAACAAACCTACTCAACATATCCACATAGACACTATAAAATTCATTGATTATTCTCATAGTGGCAGAATATCCGCCAGTAGGTGTTTGGTTGGGCATACAGCGGTCATCGTTCGCTATGGTCAGCAAGGGTAGCGAGCGCGATTTACCATCATACAGGACCTGGAAGCTGAGAGTAGCATCTTGGTTCCTTAGGTCTGTTGGAGAAGGGTACCGAGACCCTTACTGTGCAGTCAATCGTCAAATGATACGCTTGTTCTGGAGGTACCCTGCGGAGAAAGGGTGGACAAATGATGGAGGGGACACATCCAGAAGTACCGGCCTTTCGGGGTCGGAGAGCGCTAGCGTGTAGAGTGGGGTAGAGCGACCCACCCACGTGGAGAGTCCTTCACGCTCTCTCTGAGTCGTTCATTCATGTCCCATACATTATTCTGGCCACCGCATTGTTTGGCCGTCAGGGTTATGGGCTCGGCTCAGTCTCAGGAGTATTCCGAGCTCAGACTAGATGACGTCATACCCCAGGCGATAGGTCCCATCACACGAGCATTACTTTCGTTATCGTTACGTTTACAACCTCAACAATGATACCTGAAAATATCCTTCCGTCTGATACTGAGCTCCCACAAGGCCCAGGTCTCGCTCCTTATTGGAAAAGGGATAGAGACCGTCAATCTACTACATTTCCATTTTTCGTGGTTGGCTCCAGCGAACTCGAACGCGACATTCGCTGTATGAACTCTACCATATTAGACGATCTCGAAGGTCTCTCTACGATTCCGCGCCTCTACCAAACGCTCTTCTATCGCACCCGCGAATTCGCCACGACTGTGCGCAAGCTAGTGGACGTTGAGCCTGCATCGTGGGCACATGCGGCATGCCTACTGATAGATTGGAGTGTGAATGTTCTAAGACACAAAGAGGTCAGATTGGAGCGATTCTTACACAGCCAACGCGAGAGTCTTTATTGGATCTTGGATGATGCGTTGTTGAGAATTTGTGTGGACCAATGGGATCCACCGCAACCCACCACACCATCTTCACACTCTATCAAATCGCATAAATCTCCATCCTCATCCTCATCCTCAACGCCACAAGCAGCCCCATGGGACATAGCTACGAGACCGATCTTACTAGCGCTATCCAGAGCTCGAGGTTTGATGCCGTTATGGCACGCGCTTGATCTGGAAGAGAGGGAGAGGTGGGAATTGAATTGCCTGGACCCTCAGGGTCGGTACTTCGATGCTGGCTGGTTTCGGCGTTCGACCAAATTTTTACATCAGAGTACCAGGATTCATGAGGTCTGGAGAACCCTGAGGCGGTGGGGCGACGGCCAGCTTCCTGCTGAGCTGGCCAATGCTATCATGGAAGATGTTGCAAAGTTCGAAGGTCTGCCAATGTGTGACTTACGAACGCAATACTTCACGAAGAAAGCAGTAAATCAGGGTGCTGTGAGCTATTTTCGTGAGGAAATGGACTGTTGAGTTCTACATCGGTGCGTCGCCGTCTAGACACCCATCTTCGGTCTCTCTACCCTTCGCCGACTCTAGGATAGCCAGCACGTCCTCCTTTTGGCCCATACCTTCCATAGCTCCGAAATCGTCAGTCATGGTGCTATCAACTACTTTTTCAATGTCCGCTGGTTCCTGGATACCTACTTCCCTCAATGTACTCGGCAGCCCTAGAGTTTTCACAAAATTGGCTACCGCATCCGCAAGGCCGGGCTCGTCTCTTTCAAGGACTTTATTCCAGATCCCCAGCACGCTCTGCTGTAAACGTCTTTGCTTCTCTGATTTAGACGCATTGTAGCGTAGGACTGGGGCGAGCATGATGCAGGATGTAACGCCGTGCATAACACCGCACGTACTACCAAGCTGGTGCCCAATGGCGTGCGAAAGGCCCATTGGTATGTTCCACAGGATGAGGCCCATCATGGCGTTTCTGGCTCCTATCTGGCAGTTGGCAATACCATCGAACATTTCAGATCGATTGTTGTCACTCTCGCCATTCCTGTAATCCGTCAAGCCTCTGAGTAGTACTGCAAGCGCGTCTTCCATATGGCGGAACACCTCTTTTGTGCATTTGTCGCTGATCATCTACATTACAGAAGTAGCGTAAGCATGCCTGTGAGCCTGAGAATCATTGATATGAATACATACCGTCTCAACACAGTGATCTACAGCGCGCATTCCGCTCGACAGCCATAATTTCCTTGGTGATGTGGAGGCGACTTCAGGATCGAGAAGGATAAGATTTGGCGCCGCGTGTTCGCTCGAAAAGTGCTGCTTCTTCTTCGATTGAGGGTTCGTTACTGACGAGTTGCAGTTCCACTCGCTTGCTGACAGACTCGTTGGGATGAGAATGAGTTTGATCGTAGGATCTTTTAGCCCGGCGGCGCTGCCCTTGGCTTAGTCCACCAAGGCCTCCATAGCTTCTACCGTCAGATTGTCTGGGGCGAGATTCGCGTACATCAAGCGCGCGATCTTGCATGCATCCGAGTAGCTGCTGCTTCCTATGCTGATCATACAGTCCGCCTTTTTCTCACGTAACAGCTTTGCAATTTCCAGTACATCTTCGTAAAGGGAATGAGCGCCCACCCCAGACTTGGTACCCACAACGAACGACCCCAATTTCTCTTTCAGCCTCTCCACAACATCTGTGTTTTCCCCTAGCGCTTTAGAGTGCACTATAAGCGGCCGCTGACAGCCCAGGTGCCAATTTCATCGGTAATATCGTCCAAATAGTTGGAGTTCAGTATGGCGTTATGTCCTTTCCGAGCCGGGGTGGGAAGCTGCTGAATCGTGCGCTTTTTATGACAATAGGAGAAACATTCGGACATGATGCAGTAATAGATACAGATGTAATCTATTACTCGTGAAATGAATGGCTTAAGCAATATTATGAAGTTGTTCGGACCGAAGTGCAAACAATTCAGGTTTTCAAAAGGCTGCGTGCTACTCCCTGACGAGCATCTTACCTCATACCTGTTCAACCCCGCCATCATGAGATGCGAACCCCTACATCTGATACGAGGTTGCTCAGCAAAGAACCAACGTGCGTTCATCTCGCATCGAATGTAGCTTGCGTAGTTTGGCGTCATTCGCATGTCTGGATCGGTCATTGTTGTTCGGCCAAAACCAAGTGCTGACCTTCCGAGGCTGGGCTGGTGGCGGCATTCTTATGATCGCAGTCCCCACTATTCCAGAACATCGTCAGCACGATTTGGTCGAATTCGGTATTTGGAGTGCTCGCTTAGGGTAGCAGATGTTCACATAGGACTTTGGCGGCGTACTGTTTGGTAGTGGACGATGAAACGCGTCGTAGAGGAAACCGCGACCACGACACGCTAAAATCCGTTGAGTTTTGTGTGCACCGACTGTAGCATCCCCTCACTCTCCACATTCAAATGGACCCAACCTTCCATCTCTTCTTAACAACCACCATCAATAGGTCTTGCTCGGTACAAGGCTGTACACATCAAGCTGGTCTTCCCCCAATAGTATTTCGCAGTTTACATAACCCCGCAGCCGTGAGTGCGATTCAGGCTGACCCAATAAATAGACGGTAAAGCGTGAGAGGAGCGCAAAACTTTAAGTAGACTGTGATTACCGTCCCAGTATTTTCGTGAGGCTGAATCCGCTCAACGTGGCGAAGGAGATGTTCGGCGAGATAAGGAGCTCTTTTGAGCAGATTATGATGTACTCACCTCTCTACAGGGGCCATAACACAACCGCACTTCCCCGGGAACTTCAAAACCTAAGACACGACCTCCATCGTAGCACCTTTCTGTGAGTCCGAGATTTGAACCTACCGAGTCTCTCATTGTCCGACATCCATCCTCATCTCAGTCAAAACAGCTTTGCCATTGAAAAGTTTCAATCGTCATCACTCCAGCCACAACAACCACCCTTCACCCGTCAATCATTCCTCAGCAATCTCATTTTAGACGAAAGGGGAAATTTGAGCACTGTGTAAAAGAATTCTTGTTTTGGGACGATGTCACCCTTGACTCCCTGGCCACTGTTGGAAAGATGAGACTACAGGGTTTTGCAGACGTGGGTTCGAAAAACCTGGAGAAAGACAGCAATCAAACGACTCGAAAACAAGGGATCCAGTAAGCGCCAGATACCGTCGGAGAGACCACCGAAAGGGTGTGTGTTTTCCAAATACTCGCGGAAGCAAGGTACCCGTCGCGCCAACCTCTCAACGCGTACGGAAGCCACCTACTCCGGCATTGTATTGCAACACAATCAAGAAAGCAGCAACACCTCATCTCGCCAACACATACAGTTTCCCTTTTGTCTACATATACGCGTCACCTCATCGATAATTTCCGCGGAGCAACGATATAACTTAGTTCACGTTATAGCGTACGACGCTGTCATAGTCTCGCTTAGCACCCCGCATATATCGAGTGTTGACATCACCCTCTACGACCCGCCATCTCGGACCAAGACCGCCATCGATGCCAAATTCTCCACAGACTGACATCCGGCACGGTCCTGACATGCACCCCAGATGGCACTAATGCGGGCTGGTAGAATATCCGGACGTTGTTAGCCTGTGAAATGCTTGTTTTCAAGATTTCGCTGCAGGCTCTGTTGCGTTTCACGCTTCGCTAATCTTACTACCGGTAATAGTTGTGTATTGCCGCGAGGGAGGCGTGGAGCAGCTAACGGCACAATTTACCCAGTGGCGCATCAAACATGGAGCTCGTTGAATCCATCGCTGTGGTTGGCATACGCAGGCGAAGGCGTACTGGCACTGTTGTCGCGGCGGGGGAATGAGCCGTGTTGGCTCGACTGGAGGCGCTCAAGGGACGGGTGTTGTTGGTGGAGGAAGTGAAGAGAGTAGGATGATAGCGTACTGATGTCACTTGGAGACAAGCTCAGGGGCGGGTATTTGGAGGAGGCGTTAGGTGCTGCTTGCAGGTCAGGAAAAGCGTATGTCGATTGTTCAAATGGTATAAAGTCCAAAGGGGGTAGCGCCTACGGCCTGCAGTCAAGCACCCGCACCTACGACATCCTCACTCATCTCAAACACCAATTACAAAACCTGAAGATGCTTTCCAAGTCTTTCTCCCTTCTCGCCTTTGGCGCGTTGGCCTATGGCCAGGAGCTGGTCCAAGAGGGCGCTCCAGCACCTGTCGTCCTCGCAACCGCAAAGTCTGCTGTCATCCCCGCGACTCCAACAGCTACACCTTTCACGGGCGTCGATACCATCCAGGGCGCGATTGTCTCTCCTCTCCCTCCTGCGCCAGGCTACCTTCCAGGTGAGACGGGAGGGCTCAAGGGTACCGCAACAGCCTCTTCCAACCAGCCTTCAGCTACGTACCGTGCAACCATGCCTGAGGAGCAATACAACCCCTTCGTTGGCAGCACGGTTTCCGGATCCATCGAGGCTGTTGGTGGTGCTAGCGGTGTCAACTTCACCGTTAACCTATCCGATCTGCCCGATCAAGCCCAGTTCGGTCCCTTCGCCTGGCACATCCACGCTCTCGCCGTCCCTGCTGACGGAAATTGCACCGCAACCATGGGCCACCTGGATCCCACCAACCGCGGCGAGCTCGTCATGTGCGATTCCGCACTGCCAGAGACTTGTCAGGTCGGTGATTTGGCCGGAAAGCACGGCGGCAAGATCATGACGGAGGGAAGCTTCTCAACCAGCTTTGTGGACCCGTACCTCAGTGTTGTAGAGGGTAGTTCAGGATTCTTCGGTGGATTGGCGTTTGTCCTTCACACTGGTAACACCACGAGGATCACTTGTGCGAACTTTGAGCTTGTGTCAGGTGGCAACGGTACTTCTGCTCCTAACGGCACCATGGGTATGCCTAGCCCGACTAGCAGTATGCCAGCCGAGTACACTGGCGCGGCGAGCAAACTCGGTGGAGGTGTTGTTGCGCTCGCGGCCGGTGTCTTTGCTGCGATGATGATGTAAAAAGTAGTATAGTTCATTTTATCGAGCTATAACTACGATACTCGTAATGTAATATGACTGAGCTTATAAGCTTATTTCGCCAGATGTGATTAGTCTGCAAGTCCATATTCAATGCCATCATACTGAAGTTTCGCCAAGCATGCTATCATTTGCCTTGCTGCCCCATGCCCGATGGAGAGTGCTAGAACACTCATTGTCACAATCATATCGTTTGCATATCCAGTACCTCGGTCCAGTTCCCAGGCCGCGGCAACATCCCAGATTTGCACACTTGTTCCACTTTTCTCCATTACTCTTCAAGCCTTTCTTTAGCATCATCATTGCTTCCTCTGCCTTTCGCAAGAAGAGCTCCTCTTTGGTAAACTGACTACAGTTACGACAGACTTGTCTGTCAATCGGAAAAGAACTTATCGATTCGGCGTAGTAGTCATCTCTTTTGAATAAACGCCCGAGAAATGTCTGTTCCTGCGATGACCTGCCGCATTTGCAAGGTGGATTCCCTTTCATTCGATTTTTTCTTGCGCGAGGGTGCCGAACAGTATACGTACGGTAGCAGGATGCGCAGTATGGAATGCAGTTTTCAATGTGACGGGATGCAACCGATTCCAGTACTGGAAAATCCACCTCACAGCTTTCGCAAATTTGATTCGTGCAGCTCCAGCAGTTGGTTTTCTTGTCAGGCTCGCACGTATACAGCCTGAACATGGCGAGTCGACGAGAGATTTCGTTTGAAGGTAAGACGGCTTGGTGAACTGACTTGGAAACAGTTGATAGGCTGATGACGTCGGTGTAGTGCAGGTGCTCGGTGACCATTACCAGCATATCATACACCCCAAGGAACTGTGCCAGTGGAGTGTGGGTCCCGTAACTATTCCGATACGGCTCTGCTAAATCTTTACTCTTTGTGAACCCATTCTTGACTTCCGACAGCATGATTTCCACCTTTTGCCCTGCGCCTATTGCAGTCTTTGCGACGCACCGACGTCCTGATCGCACTGGGGCTTTGAAGCTCAGTGGAAGGCACCGGAAAAAGTAAATCGGCGTGTAGAATATAATCCACCCCACGATTAGTGCTGCCCATCTTACTGGACAAAACAGGCATTTACCAGCCATAGTGGACACCTCTTTCATCAAATCAAGGATGGACTCATTGTCCCTCCTCATCTGTCGAGCAGAAACGAAGGTTGAGATGTAACCAAGAAAAGACAGGAGGGCACAGAAAAAGCTATTGCAGTCAGCGAAGCTCGTCCACATGCTTAGTTCACAACTCACCAACATGCGATCCCGGTTTGCATCTCTTTCACAAATTCGACACACATCTGAGTCGGGCTTGCGACAGTTTCATTCAGCCTTCCAGCAGCAGCAAAAAAGCTCTCATTCGTGCCTGGAGGTCGTCGCAATTCCAGACCTACAGGATCGTGGCAGGCTTCCAACTTCTGGGGGGTGTAGCCAATCTGGTAATGGATAGCCTTTGCTATGAAGACAGTAAAGGCAGTATCGACCATCGTAAGAGGTAAGTTTAGAGGCGGTATAAAAATGATGGAAGGCAACCAAAGGATCATATGCCAGAAAAATAAAATAAACCCCCATTTGTCTACAAGTTCCTCGCCATTGGGAATAGTTGCATCGTAGGTACCATTGTGAAGCTCAACATTGTCGTGGATCAATTGGGAGTGATTGGCTGTCCAGTAGAATACAGACAAGAATATTAATATAAAGCGAATTCCAAAACAAGGCATGAATAGACCTGTATAGGCATTGTCTTTCATGCTGAGAATGGCGAGAACCTGATGTTCGCTGGTGTCGAATGGATGCAGGTGCGAATTTGCAGCTGAGAGGTAGTAAGCTCCAACTATAGCGGTAATTGAGGGCTACAAGGCAGCCAGCAAGAAAGATATGACAACCGTACGGAGCGAACAATGCCTGTCACACAAGGCTGAGCGGCTGAGACCCTAGAAGAGGTAAATCGCGACTGGCAATTCCAGGCATTATTGTACATCAACCCATAAGAAAGAGGTTTGGCGTGTGAAAGCCTCATACTGTAAAGGCCTGATCATCGCGAAAAAGCAGCCGCGGTCAGCCATAATGGCATAGCTGAATTGCTGCGCCAAGATCCGGTGAAGAATAATGGAAAGGCTGTGATTCGGCCATCTGCACGCATCTCGTCACGCGTCCTCGTATCTCCCCCCTCCCCCCTTAGAAGCGACATCGCACAATTTTATTTCCATGAAAGACGCGATGCATCCAGACACGCATCGCAAGAAGAAAATGACGTAGTTGGTACAGTGGGTCCAGGTGCGGTGCAGAGTTCTCAGCTGCTTTGACCGCACATTGCTCGTCGCGGTGCCGCTGTCATCTTACTAGCAGAGGCTATGAACATAGCAAAGGGGTAGTATGGTTGTCGCGACAAGGTAAGGGTGTCGCGCAAGATGAGCGTTGGGTTGTGGTAGTGATCCCCTGCCGAGGCTAGTAGTGCACGGCTCGATCCGCCGCCGGTGGGTCTCTATTACCATGACAACGGCGGGTGTTTATCGATGACACAACGCTCAATCGCAAGTCCGTGGTCGACCATCTACAGAAGGATTAAGCCTGAATCTTGCGGCCCACACAAGGCTCAAAATATTGCTTACTCCGCACTTTCGGACCTCTTAGCTGCATACAACCCCCCCTCCCGACTTCCCCTACCGACTCCTGCATCTGCCACGCTTGGTCTCAACAACATCTGGACTGCATTGTTAGTCGCAGCATATATTGTCACTTGTTGATAAAGCTGTTACTACTATCTTGCAACAGTAACCCCGGAACATCATCACAATGGAGGCCCTACTCTCTCTCGCATTCGACAACATAGCGTCCAAGGACACGCAGAAGATTCGCAAAGGGTTACGCCAGATCGAGGGCATGCTGGCGCAGATATGTCTCTCCAGTGGAAAGCCAAGAAATTCACCACCAGGCCACCGTCGGAACGCCTCAGCACTCAATTTGGGCGATCAACAACAACAACCAACGCCGAAGAAGCTGGGACAGTTATCAGACGATCTCGCCTTCAGGGAGTTCTTCAGATTACAGGAGGGCTTTGAATGGAATGGTGAGCGCAAACATACAAGCATATATAGAGTTTGACTAATATCATACAGTTGTCACACGGGTAGCCGATTGTTTGGATCGATTGCTGGGTATGGGAAGCAGTAAGGGTAAGCCTGTGCTAGGGAATACCGAACAATAGCTAACCGTCCACTGTAGATGGCCAAAACGACATCCTCATCCTCTCCTCGTTATCCAACATACAGGGTCTTCTGTTGTTGCACCCACCATCACGCATCATCTTCGGTCGCGAAGTATACATGAACCTCCTCCTCGACTTGCTCGATCCCTACAACTGCCCCGCCATCCAATCGCAAGCCCTCCTCGTCCTCGTCACAGCCCTTCTCGCAACACCACAAAACACCCGAGTGTTTGAACACATGGACGGCCTCCTCACCGTCACAAGCCTGTTCAAGGACGAAGAGACTACACAAAACGTCAAGGTCAAACTGCTAGAGTTTCTGTACTTCTACCTCATGCCCGAGATTCCAGTTTCTGGCCCGCAGCGGAGCCCGAGCAAGCTGACCAATGCTTTCGAGCGGCGGGGAAGCACCGACGATAGTGGAGGTGCGACGAAGAAACATATCCGATCACAAGAAGAGAAGCAACATATGCTGGGGAGATACCTCAGTAACGTAGACGCTCTTGTCGAGGACCTCCAAGAGAGCGCGCCTTTCAACAGCGTCGCCTGCTGAGAGCCATGCGTACCACAAGTCGTCCCTGGCGATGACTACAACATATTTCCTTTGTTCTGTCGATCTTGTTTGGCCATATGCTGGTACCACTATACCTTTCCTTTCTCTTGTCCTATTCAGCGAGGCGTCCAGGAAACCCGGGGTTCATTCGTAATCATGCGTCTCCTGATCATCATAGCGAAACGCTGCTCTCCTTTTGTATCTGGCATCTTTGAGCGTTGGAAAGACTGTTAGCTTCATTGCGCCCCGCAGTCGATACATTCGCTGTACATCATATTTCCCTTAGTTTGTGCGGCATTGTTGCGTCCATATTGGACCAATGTCCGTCGCAGGAGCGTTGTCGCGCTGGTGGCCACACTTTATCCGGCTGCCGTTATATAAATCAAGAACATCATACTTGACACTAGTGTCTTCCATGTGTGGCGTATCTCCAAGTCTTGAGCGGTCCAATGCGATCCATGTATGGCATGCACTAGGCATTGGTTGTGAGTTTCATCTTTCGTAAGCTTACTCCGGTCTTTGATGTGGTTGGTACGAGGTATGCAAGGCGATAGCGAGCTGAGAAGTGCGTACGGACGATTGGCGCTCGAGGGCGGGAATTTCGATGCGCAGAGTCGGGTATCTATATCCAAGTCGTGTACAAAGAACTTGTTTCATCTCAAGACACGGAATATATTGAGGGACGAACGAATGCGGCGAGGTGTGAAACTGTCTTTGTCTATACCCTACATGGGTCAAGCCACCTGTATGCTACAGCGAAAAGTACGCTGCCCGAGAAAGATGGTCAGTGTTAAGATGATCACCAGACCCTAAGGCCGTAAGCGCATCGGGGTCTCTAATACGCGAAGCTCCGTCCTGACTACTATGAAGCACACCAGGATCAATCTCGACGAGCAGTAAAGATAATGCTCGTACATCTAAAGGAGGCTAGCGCCGGTACTTGGCGGAAGCTAAGCCTGTGGTCGACGGTCGCGTGTTCTTGTGCCACCAACCACGACAATACCAGGCACCGAAACTCCAGCACGCGAGCAGTCGGCGTCAAACTTCGGGCATGACGCGCACATTGCGATGTGAAAGAGTCTTCAGTGTTGGTCGCGTTTTGCAAGTATCAAAGCGCAGAATTGGCTTGGAATCGAGTGCTGTTGTCAGAACTCTGAAATTCTAATGACGTAAATTGCGGCAAATGACATGTAAGCACGCGACACTAACCCAGCAGTCACAACGGAAAGCCGGCTCTTCCTGCATCCAGCACCTTGGAGGTTTACGCCGCACCAAATGCTAGGCAGAGCAGGTTCGTCCGACACCATCCGCCTGCCATGGCTGGTCTGTCTCAGTGGTTGCTGTTTAGTCACCCCTCGCATGCCGTGCGTTCCGCTGACTTCACTACGCGCCATGCATCTTGCCTTTAGTGTAGGATGTAGTCCTCGGCATCGGGCGTCCTTCTTGCCTGTTCCTTATTTTGTTCCTCAAAGTTTGTTGTAGCTAAGCCTTTCTGCTTCTCAGAAAACCCTGGAATTGCTTCTTCCTACCGTCGCACAGAACATACAAGGCACGGCACTGTCTCGCGCCTCGACATTTGCGCAAACATATTCGGATCGATCGGCTGTCATCTTAGTCAAACACCCCGTCATCCCTACAAATACATCCAGCTCCCTCTTGGCTGTCAAGCCTCAAACTTCTGCATCATCTTTTGCGACCTTTGAGAGTCGCGCGCCTGCACCCACCATCCTTGCCTCTCCTCACGCATAGTCGCTAAACATGGGCGCCGGAGCCTTCATAGAACCGCTTGTAGTGGTTACCCTATTGTTCGGCGGCACATGGGTAAACCGAAACACAGAATACCGTCTTTTTGGGCGACGGAGAGTGTATCAAAATTCGCCTCGCTCAAGTTCCCCAGATTCCGGTCGATCTAGTCCGTCTTCTAGTGTGTCGCTTCTAGCCAACGTCGATGAGGAGCCTAAATGGAGGAAACGAGAAGTTGTCATTCTAGGCATAAAGAAAGATGTCATGAGCCCGAATACTAGGCGATTCAAGGAGTACTTCCTTAGTCGACTGTTGCAGAAGTTTCCCTTTCTTGTGGAGGCCTGGTATTGGGCACTCATCTACTGGGTAAGCAGCCTTGCGAAGGCACCATCTGACATGTTTGTACAAATTTATTAACTTTTCGCTTCAATAGGTTTACCAACTAGGCCGCGCATTCTCTGCCGTAACGATGGTCGAAGGCACCGTAAACGTCGCTCGCCGCCACGCCCTCCAACTTATCCACCTCGAACAGAAGCTACACATCTTCTTCGAGCTTGACGTTCAAGCATGGTTCCTGAAGCATCCCTTTCTCCTCCACTGGACGAACCGCACATACTCCTTCATCCATATTCCTGGTACAATCTTGTTCCTAGTATGGCTGTTCTACTACACCACAACCCGCAACCGCATCGATCTTCCCCTCCATAACAAACCGATGGGCGAGGCAGACGGCAGCCCTGCAGGTCCAAAGTTGTATGCCGCAAGGCGCAGGACAATGGCTACCTGTAATTTGATTGCCTTCATTGTCTTCACACTATGGCCATGCATGCCGCCTCGTCTTCTCTCCGACCCCGAGGTCCTCGGCTCGGTAGGCAAGGAAGCGCGCAGCTTTGGTTTCGTCGACACTGTTCACGGCGCCGAAGGCGAGAGCAGCGTGTGGACCCAGAACAAATTCTGCAACCAGTATGCTGCGATGCCTTCGCTGCACTTTGGATACTCGCTACTCATCGGTCTCACCATCATGTCCATTCCGCTTGCACCCCAGCATCGCCGATCTCGCACCGTTGCTCTCACAATGGGTTTGCGCATGCGCATTCCCTCGGCTCGTCGCATGCTCTGCATCTTCCTGGGTGTCGCATATCCCGCCATCATCCTCGTAGCTATTGTGGCAACGGCGAACCACTTCATTCTTGATGCTGTGGCTGGTGCCATGGTCTGTGGATTGGCGTGGACTGGCAACAGGGTGTTGCTGAACTTGCTACCACTAGAAGACTACTTCCTATGGTGCGTGCGCATCCACAAGCCTGCACGAAAGGCGGTACACTGGGATGGTGATGATGAGGATGATAATGACTATGGCCATAAGAGGTTTGGCGGTAAGGGCGTCATTGTTGATTAGATGGCTGTACGAGGTGGATAGTGTGGAGGTAATGAACAGGTTAATGTTAAGCATTGGGTATCGGCGTCTTGCTAGGGTCAGGTATCTTGGTTAATCAGGGCGGTGATATCATCATGGGACTACCTTAATTGTCGAGTTAACGGCCTCGCTGGGATATTCAAATACCCTGAAATAATGATCATAATCTTATCTTATCATCTTGCAGAGCTATTCGGGCGTAGTGCCGTAATCGGAACTTGTAATATTTACCACTCTTTAGTCGGGGTCGTCACCTGGTTTGCTCGGGGGTAAGTTGGGTATTGGAGTCCCCTTAAGCTGACTCCTCCACCCCATTATGAACGAACAATCCATATGCTTCGTCCTCGTCTTAATTCCTCCTCCATTACAATCAAGAGGGTCTGCATTCCACATGCCAGACCTACACTCCCCACACTCCTTCCACGTCTCCTGGTCGTTCCAGTCACACTTGAACGCCGTGTTATCATACGAAAAATGCAGCGTACTGCTCCCGTAATCATAAGGCCCAATGAGAAAGTCCGGATACCCATTGACATTGTGCTCGACGACACTAGTGCCGCCAGAGGATAAAAAGTACGCCCAGACAAAATCGCGGTTGACGTAGACACCGCGGGCAGTAATGAAGTTGTCAGACATGCAATTTTCGATGATTTGAAAGTGGAAGGGGAGGATGATGATGGGTTCGGGGTCGTGGGGGCGGCTGATCTGGGTTACTTTGGCAGCTTTGGGTGTTGTGGGTGTGCCGAGGATGGCGATGGGATCGTTGTCTGTGCCGAATGCTGAAGATGGTTGGACGGATTCGCCTTCGGTTGAGACGAGTAGCATCTCAGAGTTGAAGGTACCATCATAGCCTTCGATGGCGATGATGTGGGTTCCAGGTGAGAGGGGCTGTCCAGGCTGGACGATGGCGGCGGCCACGATGCTAAGGACAAGGGATGCGACGATGAAGAGCTTCATCGTTCAAGAAGCCAGGATGGTGAGTTGGGGTGTTAATGGAGATTGAAGTATCGACTATATGATGCTTTGGAAAAGTTGGTCAACAAACGTCGAGCCACTGTTGTCGACTCAATATTACTCCAAGAGATCCTGCTTGAGTGACGATAGATAGGAGAGAGTGGTGTAAATACTTGAGCAGAGGTCGAATGTTCACATAGGGCGATGAACTTATGTGAATGAAGATGCGCACGGACCGTTGATGAAGCAAACGGACATGAGCGTGAATTTGGTAATGTGTTTGTTGGCATGACATGGCTAGATTAGTCTACGTTACAAGAGAACCACAAGTATAACAGCGCTTACATATGGTGACACTTTGTCGTAACCGCTGGATGAGAATTGTTCCAGCAACAGTCTTTGTCATTGTCTCATCTCCTAGCTATACATTTCCAACCATTGTCAGTTGCAAGCATCCTGCTAGTCACCCTCACCACCGACATCGTGGTTGAGTCCACATGTTTTCCAGTACCATGCCCAAGCCTTTGGCCATCGCTCCTCTCTCAAACTATCCAGCCAATCCTTAACCTCGAAGCAGTTTTCACCAACGCGAATCACGCCTTTTCGAACACCTCTCCAACCCTTGATAGGACCTCTGATGAATCTATGCGTCTCGATGCAGAGTTTTGCCCAATCTTTGAGCTCCTTGTGGATAAATGACTCATCATTATGGGCTTCGCGAAGACAGGCCCTATGACTTTGAAGGCATGCATCGCAAAGATCAACATTCGCACATTCCAAACATTTCCAGAGAGGCGTTGTCCAATCTGAACCAGATTTCTTGCAGCGATCGCAATAGGCTATGTAGCCTGACAAGTCACCGTGAGTATCGCTATTCTCGTCGTCATAGACGCGCCCGTGGAGTTCGCGATCAAGCACCGAATGCCGCAGCGATAATGCGATCAGTGCATCGCGTTCTAAACTGGGCAATGATGCGAGCAGCATTGCAAGCGCGGTGAGACTTGTCCCGTCGTTGGAAGCGATCCCATCTTTGAGATCATTTACGAGTACTTTGAATGTGTTCTCCATGAAAGGCTGGTACTTTTTGGGCTCAACAACTTTGAGCATCCTAGCGACGAGCGCACCAGCGTGACAGCCATGTAAATTTTCGTCACTAAAGTTTGGCATAGTCATGGCTTCGCCTAGTAATGCTTCTTTGCGTGACCAGCTTGTAGCGTCCTGGAATTGTGCGAAGATGAGACCAACGTGCCGATTGCGGATTCTTTCCACCTCACGTTTCATTCCAAACTTTCTGTCCTGAACTTTCGGCTCCCCCAGAGCGAGTATCTTTCGGTGGATCTTCTTTGCTTGCTCCGCGTCGTGTAAATTCTCGAAGTATAGATGAGCGAGACATCCCAGTGCTACTAAGCGTTGATATGGGTCTGGCCATAGTACATTGCGCTTCTTCAATCCGTAGAATGGACGCCAAGGTCGCGATTTCTCGAACTCTGTGAGCCACGTTATCCAAAGATGCACGTCTTCACTTCCCGCCCAATCGCTGATCCGCGTAGCATTCCGTTGAACCGAGGTTGTGATCCTGTTGAACAGCCATCCCAACCAGACTTGTCGTTCCTTCTTTGAAAGACTCTGCATCAGTTGCTTTCTTTGCCGACCACTGGGATCCAATTTATCACAGGCGGTGATGAACGCCTCCATCATGTCTTGTTGCGGGAGCGAGGCAGCCAAGCCATATTTTGCTCGGTATAACTTGCATGCTTCGTGAAGGTCTTCCCACTGGTTCAATGGCATCAAACCAGACATGATCTTGCGAGTCAGAAGCTCTCTCCGTTTCTCTTGAATTTCTTGCTTCTCTTGGACTGTAGAAGCAAGTGGATCGAGCCTGTCCAGTATGGCTAGCCCTTCATCCGCCCACTTGAGCATTTGTGTCGATTCAAATGCTCCAACGGTATTTCTATTGAAATACAGCAAGCGTATCAACCGAACTCTTTCCATTCCGAAAGAGTGCATGGACTCTAGACTTCTTCGGAGGTAATTGCTGCTTTCTTTTATGACGTTATTCTTTGCGGTACGGTTCCCTTTGAAGTCGAACTTCCAAAATTGAGCCCAGGCAAGTAATCCAAGTGCCCTAAGAACATCGGTATCCATATTTCCTGGACTGAAATAATTAACAAGAGACAATCCGTCCTTCATGGGATCGTCTTCGATTGTACATTCGAGTACACCAGCCTAGCTTTTGTTAGTGTGACCTATCAGTTTGTGTAGATAGTACATACAAGTTGGGCGCAGCGCTGCGCAAGCTCATACCCCCTGGGAGATGTATCGTTGGCGTTACGCATCCAGACATTGTAATGCCCTCGTCCAAATGTAAGTAGAATGCTCTCTCGGTCTATGCTCATCGCCCATTCCATAACGTGTGGGGGGAGTGAGCCAGCCGGTAACTCAAATCCTTGTTTCGTCCAAGCGAGGATGCGTTCATACCATGGGATCGTGGAAGATGTGCGGTCGGGGTAAAATTCAGAGGGCGATATATGTTTCCTAGACAGAACTTGCGCATATGGGTCTACGTTGGTCATCAGCAAATGCAAAGCACACACCACCTGGCAAGCCATTGTTTCAGAGGATTCCTCTGAATTGAGTTCGCAAAAGTGTTCTTTCCAGTACACGACGGCGTATTCTTGAATGTGTTGCTGCGGTTCTGCTTGGTTTGTTGTCTTTATAATGATGTCGATACATGCCGAGAACAGCCTCAGATGTGCCTGCGGAGCTGCAATCCGAAGATCCTTCAGATCGGTTGCTGACGCCAACGTTGCGCTTCTGAAGTATCGTCGCAATGGCTGGTCCGCAAAAGCAACATTAGCCGCATTGAACAACTCTACATCCATCTCATCGTCATCGCTCGACTGATCGTCGTCAAACTCAGTAACATCTTCTTGACTTGTCGCCTTTGTATCAATGCCCCTAACATGAGATTGTGATAACTCAAGAATGCTGTCCACATTAAGTAAGAACATGATTTGCCGCTTTTAATGTAGCCCTTACCTAGAACATTTGACGGTGATTTCTTCTTCGATATCGAGTTTGAGGCTTTCATTCGGCTCAGATGCCCTGAACAGGGTTATAACCTCTCCTAGCGTCAGAGGTCGCTTGCAGAAAGCAAGCCAAGCGAAGAGCGTCCTCAGCCCTTCTAACTGCTTCTTCGAACGATATCTTCCACATTCTTCCATCAAGGATGAATATACCTCAGGAAGACCCCTAGGCAGATTCTCCAACTCCTTGTTGACAATGCTCTCCCGGCTGATATGAGAAAGCCTACGTAGTATGTGCTCCACGTAAAGCATGCTGTCAGCTTGCGAGACAATTTTACGATATATCTTTCGCTTCAGCTGTGTACTGAAGCTCCGCAGTCGTTGTGAAGACTGTAACCGATGCTTGACTACAGATTTCAGACCTGGAGCAATCAAGTCTCTTGTCAGATCGATAGTGACTGTCTGAATTCGTGAGTCAGATGGCCAGGCCGCGTCTCGAGTGGAAAGTAGCACGTGAATAGGTGCCTCTGATCGTTGAAGGTCGAGTAAGAATGCTACAAGTTGATCAAGGCCATTTGGAAGCTCGTCCATACCGTCCAGGATTAGAAACAGCCGACGTTTGGATGAAGCGATTTCCGTATATCCGGACGTAAAGAAACGTTTCCATATTGGGACATCAACCAAGTCTGTGGAGGTATCTGCTTCGATAACGCCGCTTGTCTTCCAGTACACCAACCTGTTGACACGGTTCACAAGCTTTTGAACATCCTCTTTTATGTCAGACGCGACTTGCTCAGCGTAGCGATGATTAGCTTCAACCACTTGCAAGGCTGCACATGCGAAGGCTGCCTCTGTTGACTGTGGAAGGTCAAGATCCGGTTGTACGAAGTAATATGCAACATCAGATGGTGGGTTTGTAGATCGCTGCACCAGATCAATTGCCGCCTCCATCGAGAAACTTTTACCCATTCCAGTAGAACCACAGATCCTAAGGCAAGTGACTTGACCATCAAGCCATCGGGTGAAGTTTGGATGCTCTGCAAGCCATGCGACACTATCATCAACACGTTCTCGCTTAATGCGTTCCCTTTCTATTCGATTCGCGTCAAGAACCTTTTCAATTCTCGGAAAGAGGATGCTATTTCCGATGAAGAACGTTTTAACAGTATCCAAGGCTTGAGCCTTCTCATTTGCGCTGTCGCTCGGTAGGTCTCCGGAGTGAGACTTCGTATCGGATGATGCAGGCATCGATGCCTTTTCGAATGCATTGAGTAGGTTCTCCTGCATTTGGGCGATGCGTAGTTGTACAGCGTACGCCTCGTCTTGTTTTGCTTGAACACCATAAAATCCTTCTGTGATCTTCTTGTCAAGGCCAAGATTGCTGGCATACAAAGTCTGCAGCTGTTCACCCATTGATTCTCGAACGCGACTGATGTTAGCGTCTAGCTCGTCAATCTTCTCGCTGATTTCCCCTACATCTTCGTGTGTCGCCTTGAGCTCCTCGTAGGCATCGCGAATAGCACTGTAAGTCGCGTAGCCAACAGTCGCACCTAACTCTTCGATAGAAGCTTGCATCTCAGCGTATGCAGCAGCAAGCTCTGGACTTTCGAGGTTCCAGAGTGCATTGAGCCATTGCTTGAAGCGCCCATTGTTTTTCATATCTTGCACGATACCACAAATCACCAATTGAGACGCGAAAGTGCGAACAATAGCTTTGGCTAATGGTCTCGGATCTGTTTTGCCCTCGAGGAGAGTCAGATTGTCAAAAAAGCGGCGTGAATGATCGAAGAAAGCTTCTGCCTGATCGTAGTCCTTTTGGACTCCGGCGAACGCCTGGAACATGTGGCCACAAGCAGCAAAGATGATTCCCACAGGCATAGCTGGAGGAAAAGCAGATGCAGCCTCGCCTATCGTCTGTACACCGTCAAGGCATTTTTGCATGCCGTCGAGATGGCGTCCGAAGGCTGCTCGCACTTTGTCAAGTTTTCCATTGTCGTGTCGGTAACTCTCGAATCGTTTCTTTTCGACTGCTGTTGTTTGCATCACATCGCTGATGCTTTGGCCCCGCAAGTGAGCCAACTTTTGACCAGTCTTTTGGGTGTATTTATCAACCGCCCTGGTCCAGAGGATGCCCAGATCAGTGGCGTCTTGATTAGCCATGATGAAAATGATTGTGGCTGAGCTACAGGAATTTCTGGATGCTCGTTATCGCCCAGGTAACTGTGGAACTCAGAGTCCAAGTGGGAGAATATGGAGACAGGAAGAGTAGATGTGCAGATAACTCCAGATATTTCAGGTTCATCATCAGGTGTCGCTTTAGCTTGTCAATACTCTAGCTTTGATTGACCACGATCTCCACTGCTAAATGTAGATCTCGTTGGTGTGGCGGCTCCCAATGACCGCGCTAATACGTACCTTTCGCTTAGAGCTGTGCAGTGTGCCTAAACAAGCTGAAACCCATGCTCAGGCAATCTTCATCGCCTTAGCAAGATGGAGGCGATAGTGTGAGATGTGGATCACCAATTCGATCTGGAGACCTATAGAAGCGCCTCGTATGATGGCCTAAGCTCGGTGTTTAGGGATGGCCGGTCGCATTCGTCCTGTCGCCTCGAGTTTGGAGAAGTACGGTTGAGCAGAAACCAACAGCACGATTTGGAAGCCGCAAAGAAGTGCAAAAATGTCGTTTGTGACACTTGACAACTTGGCTTGGTAGAGAAAAAGAAAGAATGTTTAATAGTGAGCAGGGTAAAACTTCTGCTGTGTTGGCTAGACCTCAGCCGCACCTGCTGCTGATGTTGCTGCAGAGATGCTAAAACCAAAGAACTAAGCCCGTAGCCACAAAATAAGGTTATCTCTAATAGCGCTATAGTGTGAGGGCTGGAGGATTAGGTCTAGGTCTAGGTGTCACAGCACTGGCCTCGATAGCTAATCAGAGTGCTATCGCTGAACTTCTCGCACGAACGCAGGGTAGTAGACGTACGTGAATGAAATTGCGCACGGACCGTCGACAAAGCGAACAGACATGTGCGTGAATTAGATAGTATATTTTTTCGCAAGACACGAGCGAGGATTGCCATTAGCACAGAGTGGTGGTTCAAGTAGGCTCTGTCGCGGGGGCTGGGTGTTCCTGTCCCACGGACGAAGGTGACTGAGCTTGAACGACAAACGAAAAGAGAACCTGGGATGCAGGTGATACATGAGAGAAATTACAAAGTATACATAATATTGTTGTGTACAGTCAACAGTACTTAGGGTATAGTGTTAAAGAGAGTACGAGAAACCACCAACGCCGGATACGCAATGCATGATATGCAGACAGCGGCCTAGTAACGGAACATGACGCAATGAAAGTACACAAAGAAACTCATCAGCGTCTGCTACTCCTAGTGTTGTTTCGGCTGGGCCTGTCGTCCCGGTGAGATCGGTGAGTGTCGTGTCGTCCGCCCATCTCCTCATCTTGAATACGGCCTCCACCGTAGGCACGCTGAGGATGACGAACGTCATCGTGATCATCCTCAAAAGTGTTGCGGCGCTCATCAATCTCATCGTCAAAGTCGACATAGACAGAGGCAGGACGCGGCCGCCTTTCTCTCGGTAGCTTGGAATCTCTGTCCACAAGTGACTTTGGCTTGTGGAGCTTGTCCAAGTGCTCTTCGAGAAGACGAACGTTTTTGCCATTGGCTTTGACTGCGGCATCGGCAAGGTCGCCAAGGAAAGGAACAAGACCGATCAGGAAGTCAAAGGCGACATTGAAAAGCATCATGATGAGGACGGTCATTGGCAGACCGCCGTCGACCTTCATCATGTTGCGAACGAGGTTCAGAGCCAAGGCCGAACCTGCGGCGTCACCCACGGCGGGGACAAGGCCAATGACGGAAGACCAACCAAATCGGATTCCAAACAAAGTAAAGAGGGCGTAGTCCAGCCTGTAGGCGGTCTTGCGGGCTTTGGCTAGGACGTTGGCATCGTTGTCGGAAAGATAATCTGGGAGCTGCTTCTTGACTTTCTTCATCTTGTGGGGCTTCCTCTGATCTGGAACCAGCGCATAGTATGGATCCTGCAGAAGAGTTAGTGCGAGCTGTAGGAAGCGAGAAGGTGACTACTAACGTATGGACCAGATACATCCTTGGACTTGTACTTTTCCATCTCCTTGCCCAAGGCTTTCTTCATTGCGTACTTAGCGACAACGCCGGCCATGTTGGGTGGTAGTTTCTGAGGTGATGTGGGTGGTTGAGGTGTGCAGGCTGCTATGAATACAGCTGTGGACGAGACTGCCACAGAAGGCTTATATGTCTCTGGTGTTGAAAGACAGTGCGTGGGGTGCGGGTATCTCACAGCGCGCTTGTTGCGTGGTTGGCGGACGGCGCTTCTGGTTTGAAAATGTGAAACGGGCGCGTCGCTGCCCTATGTATAGCTGGCGAGTGCGACTGGCGACGAGCTCGGTACAAAATACTGGTGAAGAATGAGTTGTGAAGGAGCGGCAGAAGTGAAGAGCAGCAAGCCTACTTATCGCATCATGCGCTGGCGGTGAGTCGCGCGAGACTGCCCTGATTCTGTGACGCGATCCCAGACAGCCAAACGTCATGGCTCTCGCTCTGTCTCCTTCTTTTGCCTGCGAGCACAGCCACAGCCGCCACACTTGGTGTCGATCGCTCCACGACCCTCTCCGATAGGCCTCTGACAACACATCAACAACACGCTCGCCGACCACCGACTCGACGCCGCATTCTTCGACCTTCTTTGCGGCTGTGCACCCCTTCACTACTGCGCGCATCTTCGCATCTAGAAGCCTCGCTACTACCCGCCGCCCGCCGCCCGCCGCCCGCGACTGACGGACTGGTGCCCGAGTGCACATCTCCCCACCCTCTGCGACACGAGCTGTGCGCGGTATGCTCGATACGGGCCAGACATCCATCCACCATGACAAACACAAACCGAACATTAGTTGACTGGCTCGACGACCTCTGCGTGCGCTTCATCGTCAACCTGCCCAATGAAGAACTGCAGTCGGTGGAGCGAATATGCTTCCAGATCGAAGAGGCCCAATGGTTCTACGAAGACTTCATCCGCCCTCTCGACCCCAACAACCTGCCCTCGATGCACCTGCGCAAGTTCTCCCAGCTCATGTTCCAGCACTGCCCCCTCTTCTCCGCCTATTCGGAAGAGCTGCACCAGCAGGCCTACGAGCAGTTCCTCGCCTACAAGACACGGGTCCCGGTGCGTGGCGCCATCATGCTCAACGAGGACATGACCCACGCCGTCCTGGTCAAGGGCTGGAAGAAGGGCGCAAAGTGGAGTTTCCCCCGCGGCAAGATCAACAAGGAAGAGACGGATCTCGATTGCGCCGTCCGCGAAGTCTGGGAGGAGACGGGCTACGACCTGAGGGAGGCTGATCTGGTCGAGCCCGACGAGCACATGAAGAAGATCACCGTCACGATGCGCGAACAGAGTATGATGCTGTACGTCTTCCGCGGCGTACCCATGGACACTTACTTCGAGCCGAGGACGAGGAAGGAAATTTCAAAGATCGACTGGTACAAGCTTACCGATCTGCCCACCCTGAGGCGGAAGAACCAGGTGCAGCAGCAGGGCACTGGAAACGACCTGATCAAGGAGAGCAGCTTTTACATGGTCGCGCCCTTCTTGGGGCCTCTGAAGCAGTGGATAAAGCAGCAGCACAAGCTGGGAAGACAGAGACAGCGTAACAGCGCGCACACGGCTACAGCACCAGTGGCAGGCACCGACGACGAATATGTCCAGCCTAATCTATACGAGACTACGGCCGACGAAGCTGCCCCCGTCGCAGATGCGCAGGTAGCCAACAACTTTGCAGATATGGTGGCCCGATTGGGTCGCGGCCACCGCCCGAGCGACTCCTACCCAGAGCTATCTCAAGCGCACCAGGCGCCACCACCACAGCAGAGTCAGGATCCGGCAGAAGCGCTCAAGCGCCTACTCAGTGTCGGCATGCAGTCACCGCCAGTGGAAGCCCCTAGCCAGCCGCCCCCTCAAGGAAACCCGCTCCTGGCCCTGTTCAAGCAAGGCAACAACCAACATGCAGGAAATCAACAACCCAGGACGCCCTTTGAGCAGATCATGTCCCCGCCTGTGCAGCCATCGAGTCCACATGGTCAGCACGGCCCTCGGCCTCCGCAAATGGGCAACATGGGGCCGCCACCGCCCTTCTTTCCACCGCACCAGAATATGCCATTCCGAGGGCATCCAGGCCATATGAACGGCATGCAACCACCACCGCCACACATGTCGCCTCATTTCATGCACCAGCAGCAGCAGCAGCAGCACATGTTTCCACCCCAACCACCTAACATGCAACAAGCATTCGACCAACACAACCAGCGGCCACAGTTCCAAGAGATGGGCGACTCACAGTTTGCTGGCGGCAATGGCAGACCAGCGATACCACCAGCCTCCAAATTGCCTGCCCCAAATCTAAATGCGCATGCAATGGGATTACTGAACTCATTCAAGAATGATAACCAGCAACCTGCGTTCCCGCCGTCGCCTCAAACTACAATCGCTGCTCCGCTACATCGAAGCCAGCAAACAACGCCGAGGATACAGCATCCGATGCCTCAACACAGGCCGCACGGTCTCGTATCACCGCAGGCACAATTCGCTCCTAGTCCACCGCAGTTTCAATCACCTCCTATCAGTTCGAGTTTTGAACCCGAACAACCGAAGCCAAGGAATGCCCATCAAGATTCATTATTGAGCATGTTCAAATCTACTCCGCCACTGCCAAGTCCGCAGCCCCCGCCTGCAGAGTTGTCTGCACTCCCTACGACACCAGCATACGTCTCCGCGCAACCTGTCGCGAACCCACCCAAACAGCACAATGCGGCTCTCCTTAGCGTATTCCACGCTCCATCGAGTAAGACAAATATGACGTCGGCTACCGTGAGCGGACCAGTCAATGCCCCGGATTTCGACACCATGAAGAAGAACAGACAGCCGACGAACGGCAGTTCACGCGGACCGTCACCGACTACCAACATGCCCTTCATGCCTCAGCAGATACTCAAACGTACGCCGCAGGCCTCGCCTAAACCTGCACCACCAGTGGAGGTTTCTGTATCACCGCAAACGGCATTTCAGCCTCAGATTTTGAAGAGACCTCAACAACAGATCAAGGTACCAGG